ACCAAGTCTATTTTTTATTATTTAGCTATATCCCTTCAGAGGCAGTAGTTTGTTTTTTGTGTAGAGTCTCAATAGTAAATAGCATGAACTAACTGAAAGTATCCGCAGATAATCCTTGACTTTCAACTAGTCAGGTAGCAACTTTTTGAAGTTACAACGGATCCCTCCCCAAAAGCTATTTACAACCCAGTTTTGAAATTCCAATGTTGCCCCCCCCCCGGGTGGTCATGTGACTATGTTTTGGGTGCTTGACAACCAGCCGGCATACATAACCATTTGCAGCATCCATTGGTCTCATGATCACAATTTATGGTGGTTTTGCCAGAAATCAGAAACTGTTTATACAACCATAGCATTTGCTTAAAGATTGTCATATAAAGGTCATAAAATCAGGTCCAGTTCACATGGTGACCCGCTTTATGGCTAGCACATTTGTATCAGTAATTGCCAGGCTCAATTAAGGTCATAACTCAACGACTTCCTGCAGTTCCAATTCATTTCAATTTGCTAATGCCTAAGGTGACGTTTCTGAATAGTTGATCTATTTTTCAGAATAATAACAGAATAACAGACTTGGAAGGGACCTTGGAGGTCTTCTAGTCCAACCCCCTGCTCAGGCAGGAAACCCTATACCAGGGGTGTCAAACTTGCAACGTCATGTAACATGTCGCGACATATCGCGACTTTTTTTTCATTGCCGGCAATGGGATGGGCGCGGTTTTGCCATGACGTATCTGGCCCACAGGCCAGCAGTTTGACACCCCTGCCCTATACCATTTCAGATAAATAGCTGTCCACTTTCTTCTTAAAAAACTTCCAGTGTTGGAGCATTCACAGCTTCTGGAGGCAGGTTGTTCCACTGGTTAATTGTTTAACTGTCAGGAAATTTCTCCTTAGTTCTAGGTTGCTTCTCTCCTTGGTTAGTTTCCATCCGTTGCTTCTTGTCCTGCCTTCAGGTGCTTTGGAGAATAACTTGACTCCCTCTTCTTTGTGGCAACCTCTGAGATATTGGAACACTGCTATCGTGTCACCCCTCGTCCTTCTCTTCATTAGCCAATTCTTGCAGAGGTTGGGCTTACATTCCATGTTCCTATTATAATTTTATCTTTATGTCTTTAGACTTTCTTTTCCTGCATGGCAAGCTCAGGAATTAGATATCCCGAAGGCTTTAATCTAACGGCATCAAAAACACCATTAGTACAATTAGTCCTTACAACTACAATCGAGACCAAAATTCTCATTGCTAAGGAAGACAGTTGTTTTATGTTAGTTTTGCTTCAATTTACAACCTTTGTCACAGTTGTGGATCATTGCAGTTATTAAGTTAGCAACACTGTTGTTAGATGAATCTGGCTTCCCCATTAACTTTGCTTGTCAGAAGATCACAAAAGATGATCACTGAACAGAACAACCATTATAAATATGAAAATGTTGCCAAGCATCTGAAGCTTGATCACATGACCCTGGTGATGCTGCAACAGTTGTAAGTGTGAAAAATGGTCATAAGTCACTTTTTTTCATTGCCATTGTAACTTCGAATGGTTATTAAACAAACAGTTGTACTTCAAAAGATCCCACCCTTACTTAATAGCATATTGAGTGGAATCCAATCCACGAGGCCCATCATCCAGCATTAGACTGTCAGTCACTCTATATTGTCTGTCCATGTGGTTTTCTTACTAAAAACACAGGAGGGGGTTAATCACTGCCTTCTGCCATGCAGTATCAAATGATGCTTTTGCCATTGTCACTAAAGTGAACACCTGCCTCTGGCATTTTCCCATATTTGCTGCTTGATACAGGTGCCTGCTTGCTTTAGGTGGGCAGCTGAGATGAAGAGCTTTATGATGTTGGTGACTCTGTTGGGAATACAGGGGGTCCTTGCTTAATGACAAGTCATTTTACAACTGGTTAAAGTTATGACAGCCACCAAATGGGTACTTTATGGTTTGTAAAGCATTCCTAGTTGTTATAATTGGTCCTATTCCCCCCCCCACCAGTCATGTGACCGTATTTTGGGCCGGTCAGTTTTATTATACATAGGTTGCAGCATTCTGCAAACAATGAATGGGTTTGCTTAATGACAGAGATGTTTGCTTATTAATCATGGTGTTTGTTTAATGACTGCCATGAAAAAGGCTGGGAAATTTACTTCCGGTCACATGGGTGCCTCGATCTATGATTGCCACAACTGATGACCATAATTCTGAGTACAATTGCTCTTGGTTGACATTTTCAATGTTTGTTGCTAATCCCTCCCAGAAACACCTTCTCCCCTGGCATGATGACTCAGCACAGCAGGATTTGAGAGGGCCAAGCCTTCTTGCATAGTAAGGGAGAAAAAGAATAGAATAGAGAAGAGTTTAAATAAACTGAACCACCCATCTCACTTTGTGTGGGTTGATTGATGAGAAGCTGGATGGACTTACCTTTTAAAATATGTTTAAACAAAGAACAGAAGGATTATTGTCCTGGCCAAATTTTCTCCTAATGTTTTACTATTGTAGCTCAGCTGAAGTCCAGGGTGACATCTGCAGCTGGGCATCACTCTTGCATAAATATTGCTTTTTTCTCCCCAAGCCACACAGCATTAATAGCTATCTCTGCCAATGCTTTTAATGGAGAGATGCTATATAGAAATTCTATATGTCTAGATTATCCAAGCATAGAGGACATGAAGCAATAGAAACCAATGGAAGCATCCAATGAAGCTGACTGGTGGGACATTCCGAAGTAACATTTCTCAAGCTTGGCAACTTTAAGAGGTGTGGACTTCAACTCCCAGAATTCCCTAGCCAGCCATCTTTCCTAAGAAGAGATTTGGATAGCTACATCTGATGGATGCTTTGAGCAATTTTCCTGCTTGGGGTCCTCTCCAGTTCTGTACCTATATATGTAAGGCAGGGGTCTTCAAACTTGGCCCTTTTATGACTTGTGGACTTCAACTCCCAGAATTCCTCAGCCAGCCATGCTGGCTGAGGAATTCTGGGAGTTGAAGTCCACAAGTCATAAAAGGGCCAAGTTTGAAGACCCCTGATATAAGGGATCCTCAACACACAACAGTTCATTTAGTGACCATTCAAAGTTACAACATCACTGAAAAAAGTGACATGACCTTTTTTCACACTTATGACTGTTGCAGCATCCCCATGGTTACATGATCGAAATTCAGACAGTTGGCAACTGACTCATATTTATGAAGGTTGCAGTGTTCAGGATCATGTGATCCTATTTGGCAACCTTCTGTCAAGCAAAGTCAATGGGGAAGCCAGTTCACTTAACAAACATATAACTAACGTGACTGCTGTGATTCACTTAACAACTATGGCAAGAAAGGTTGTAAAATGGGTAAAAATTCATTTAATAACTGTCTCGCTTAGCAACATAAACTTTGGGCTCAATTGTGGTCGTACGTCAAGGACTACCTGTACCATAGACCCCCTGTATACTACTTCCATAGAATATAAACTAAGTATAAGGTAAATATATATAGGTAGTCCTCCACTTATGACCGTAATGGTGTTTTCCCATTATGGTCATAAATCATGAGGTCAACCATGTGACTTAACTTGATTTTATGACCTTTTAATGGTAGTCATTAAGCTACTGCCAGGGTCGTAAAGCTAACCCTGCAGTCATAAAGTGAACCCATTGTTCTCCATGAACTGCCTTTATTGAAAACTGGAAGTAAATGATAATTTTTGGCAAAAACATTGTAAAATGTGGTCACGTGACAGCAGGAAACTGCATACAGTTATAAATGGGGAATGGTTGCAAAATGTCAAACATGCAATCACATGACCACGGGGTCGGGGGAGGCAACAATCAGAACTTCAGAACCAGCTTGTAAGTCCCTCTGTGTGTTTGTGTGTGGGGGAGGGCCCTCCATAAGTTTGAACAATCACTAAGCGATTGGTTGTAAGTTGAGGACTACGTGTAAGATACTGTAAAAGAACAAGAATGAGGAAAGATTTATTTTTCACAGTAGTGAATTAAATTACTGATTTTGTTATCCTGGGTTTGAAATAAAATCAGCACAATAGCTTTAAAAATGGTTGAGATAAGTTAAAAGAGAATAAGTGGTACCTTGGTACTCAGCTGTTTGAAACTCATCAAATTTGGTACTCAACGTATTTTGTCCCAATACTCATCATTTGTTTGGCACTGGACTCACAAGCTACATTTTGTTGCTGTTGGCTGCCTTGTGATTCACCACATTATTCCTTATGGGAAAAAAATTATTTGGTATTCATCATTTTGGTACTCACCATGCCTCCCAGAACCAATTAACAATGAGTATCGGGGTACCATTGTAAATATCAATGATTGCTAATATATGTATTCTGAGAAGCAGACATTCCAATTGGCTGAAATTTTCCAAAGGATGTATCCCTTGTATCCACCAACCTCTCTCTCTCACTTGATTCATAGTTTTTTAAAAAAAATTTAAAATAAACACATGGAAACCTGTGTAAAATGAAGTGCCAACCTCTAACCTAAGCTAGATAAATATCCAAAATTAATTCGCAAAGCAGAACATACCCATTTTGGTACTGCTGTCTCCAGTGTAGGAAAGTAACTATACATTTCATGATTCTGTTGATAATAGTCCTGAATTGCCCTGGTCAGCATGTTTATAAGATTTCCAGATGATGCATGTGAATGCTTTCAGCAATCTAAATGTACCCTGTAAATACTAACTATGAATAACCCTAAATCTCAGAAGGTGGAAGTTATGGGGAGAATAAAAATTCCAGTGCCTCTTAGAGATAACAGAATGCCAGTGCTTGCTCTCTGTTTCCATTCTCTGTAGATAGCATAACTAGAATAAATGATGCAAAATATTTCAGAACACATGCTTTATCATTTAAAAAGATAAAAAAAAAATGTCAGTCTTTTGCAGCTGGAGGTTTAAGTATGTGACATTGGGGAATCCAGATTTTTTTTTTAAGCATAAAATGCTGACTGATCCTTCTCTTTTCCATTTTCTTCCTCTCAAGTGAACACAGCAGTTTCCTTGCTAGCCATCAGATGAAAGGGAGAAAACTTTGGTGTCACACCTTCAGGAGAAGACCTGTCTAGGTGCAACATCATGGGACTGTGCTGAATTTCGTTGTTGGTGTTGTTCCCTATTGGAAAAAAAAATGCCAGAACTGATCTCCCACTTCCCAACTATGGAGTCGGGAAACTCCAGCGCTGCTAGACACCTTGGATCCTGCTTCAGGGGAGTGAATGTCAGCGAGGAATACAAGGAACAGCTTGCTTCTCCTTGGTTTGCCACAACGTTTGGCCTGATTGGTCTCTTCTCCAACCTCTTTGCCTTGTGCGCTCTGGTCAATTCCTCCAGGAAGATGCAGAGCTCATCCGGTTCCTTCTTCTTGGTCTTTCTCTGTGGCTTGGTGGTGACGGATTTCCTGGGTCTTCTGCTCACGTTCGTCATCGTGATTCCCTACCACTTCCTCCGCTTTGACTGGATGGATGTAGATCCTGGATGCCACCTCTGCAACTTCCTGGGCTTCATCATGGTCTTTTTCGGGCAATGCCCACTCCTGTTAGGTGCCACCATGGCCGGAGAGCGTTTTATAGGTATCAACCGACCCTTTTCCCGGTCTGCTGGTATTTCCAAACGCAGGGCCTGGACCTTGGTGGGTGTGGTGTGGGCTTTGGGTTCCTTTTTTGGCCTCTTACCCTTTTTTGGCCTGGGGGATTATAGCCTGCAGTACCCCAACTCCTGGTGTTTTCTCACTTTGGTCCATGATGCCCGGAATGTTGTTTTCTGCTTCCTGTTTGCCCTGCTGGGCCTCCTCTGTGTGGGCCTTTCCTTCCTCTTCAATACAATCAGCGTTGTGACCCTTTGCCGAGTCTATCATGATTCTGAGTCCGTGCAACGCCGGAGGGACAGCGAAGTGGAGATGATGGTCCAGCTTTTGATGATCATGGTTATCGCAAGTGTCTGTTGGCTTCCCTTGTTGGTGAGTCCTCAAGTGTTAGCCTTCTTCCCAGGGAATGCCTCTCTTTTATAAGCAGTCCACAACTTGTTTAGCATCGGTTCGAAGTTACAACAGCACTGAAAAAAGTGACTTAGGACCAGTCCTTACACAGCATCCCTGTCACAGGTCATGAGATGTGGGCTCTTGGCAACCAGCACCTATTTACAACAGTTTCAGCATCCGGGGGTCATGTGACAACCATTTTGCCACCTTCACAACCAGCTGCTGATGAGCAAGTTCAATGGGGGAAGACAGACTGGCTTAACAATCGCATGATTCAGTTAATTGCAGTGATTTACCTAACAACCATGGCAAAAAAAGGTAGTAAAATTGGGTGTGAGTCACTTAACAACTGCCTTTTCTTAACAATGGAAATTCTGATCCCAATTGTGGTGGTAAGCTGAGGACTACCTTGACTTATGAGCACAACTGAGCCCAAAATTTCATTTGTTAAGTGAGTTTTGCCCCATTTTACTACTTTTTTTTACCACAGTTGTTAAGTGGATCACTGCAGTTGATAAGTTAGTAAGCCGGTCGTGAAGTGAATCTGACTTCCCCATTGACTTTGCTTGTCAAAAGGTTGCAAGGGGACACCACAAAGGTCATAGATATGAACCAATTGCCAAGCATCTGAATTTTGATTGCGTGACCGTGGGGATGCTGCAAAAGTCGTAACTATGAAAAACGGTCATAAGTCACATTTTTCAGTGCCGTTGTAACTTTGAACGGTCACTGAATGAACTGTTGTAAGTCGAGGACCACCTGTATTTTGTTTCAACCAAGGACATGTTGGCAGCAAATGTGTAGTGCAGTATTTTGAAAAACTTTCTGAAAATTGTATATAATTTGGGGTAATCATAGTTATCATAGCAGAAAACTAGTGGGCTTTTTCTCCATCACTTTCCCTCCCAATTTCTCAGTTTCTAAATTTTGAGGCTTGCGTGCAGCCCCTTCTTATTTTTATTTTCAAAATAAAATAGACATCAGATCTTTTGGGGGGGGGGGGATAATGCCAGCAACTTTACTGGAAAAAAATAGTAATATTGTAGGCTGGCTTTTTGTGATAAAAAGTCCAAGCTGCCAAGTTATTTTAATTAAAACAACTATAATTCCTTAATTAGGAAGGAATAATTAAAATAACTTTTTTTAAAAAAAATAGTTTATTTTGTAAAATATTTTTTTAAAAATAAAGACTTTCTAATAAAACTTTGCAAACATTTCAGATCTGAAACACCTGTTTATCTTTTGTCAACATCTGGTAAACAGACTGACTACAACTCCCTCTGTCCCCTAATCCACACATACCCAGTTCTGGATGCTGATGAGCTTGTAGTCTAAAATCTCCCAGTGATGTTGAGGAGGAGACAGCTTTATTTATTTCCAGAAGCATTGGAAGGCAAACTGATCCTGACTAAACACCCATAATGCCAATGCAATACTTGCCAAAGTTTTATTAAATCTTCTCCAAAAAAGGCCAAGTGGAGGACAGAATCAGACTGTGATTTATCTGGAGCAGGGAATGGAATCTGGGAGTTATCTCCTGTTAATACAGAGAGTTGGAGCCTAACAGTTTCCATGTATGTATACAGTATTTATAAGGGAGGATGTGGACAAAGCAGCAGAAATGGATCCCATTAGTCAGTCTGCAAAACTATTGATTTGCCTAGATTTGGAATATGAAAACGTCATTGGACATTTGGTTGAATTTAGCATTGCAGTTGCTGTGCTTATAAAACATCTGAATGGCGAATGGGTTGAGGATGCAATGTAAAAAAAAATAATAAAAAAAACGAAACAAAAATGCTTGGTGGAAGGAAACCAATTTTTTGCTTCTTCATCTTCCTAATCTTTGCAAAGAGGGCATCTTACTTCTTGCGCTTGCGGTGCCTTTCCTCCATTTCACAAGATGGATGATTGGTCCCTCTGGCAGAAAACGGTATGGATTGTGGTGGAATTGTAAAGCTCAATAACTGGACAGGAGGAGGTGATTCCACAGCAGACCTCCTGATCCCATTGGCATCCACAGAGTGGACCAAGATTTATTCATTTAAATGTATTGGCTGCCACTCCAATTGGCTGGTGGTTGCAGCACTGCGATTGAAGCTTCATCCCCCTTTGATCCGGACAATGTGCCCACCATCTTACAGCTTTGGGCCCATCCTGTAGACATCCAAGTCTACATTATGCATTAACAGAGGGATAGTATCAAGGTCACATGAAGTCTTAGTATCACTTTATAATGCCATGATAAGGCCACACTTGGAATACTGCATCCAGTTTTGGTCACCATGATATAAAAAAGATGTTGAGACTCTAGAAAGAGTGCAGAGAAGAGCAACAAAGATGATTAGGGGACTGGAGGCTAAAACATATGAAGAACCATTGCAGGAAGTGGGTATATTTAGTTTAATGAAAAGAAGGACTAGGGGCGTCATGATAACAGTTTTTCAATATCTCAGGACTGCCATAAAGAAGAGGGAGTCAATCTATTCTCCAAAGTACCTAAAAGCAAAACAAGAATCAATGGATGGAAACTAATCAAGGAGAGATCAAACTTAGAGCTAAGGAGAAATTTCCTGACGGTTACTATAGAATAGAGGTGTCAAACTGCCGGCCCATGGGCTGGACGCGTCACAAGGAAACTGTGCCAACCCCATTGCTGGCAATGGAGAACAAGCTCCGATACGTTGCGTGACATCATGTGCTGTTGCGAGTTTGACATGTCTGCTGTAGAACAATTAATCAGTGGAACAGCTTTCCTCCAGAAATTGTGGGTGCTCCATCACTGGAGGTTTTTAAGAAGAGATTGGACAGCCATTTACCTGAAATGTATAGGGTTTCCTGACTGAGCAGAGGGTTGGACTAGATGACCTCCAAGGTCCCTTCCAAATCTTATTCCGTTAAAACTGGTCTAGTTGGAGCCTAACAGATTGCTAACTTTAGAAAATCCTTCTTCATGCACCCTGGATTATCTGCATGGAAACTCTTGCCTTGATAGTTGGGAAAACCCTACTTTCCTACTGGAACACTTTGGACTGCTTCACTCTACCTTAGCAAGAGGCTGGCAATGAGGCTCCTTTATCAGGATATGCCACTGAGAAATAGCATGTAGTTGGGCCCCAAGTGTTCTTTCTTAATACCAATCATTTTTGAAATGCAAAAGTGCAACACCAGCAGTGGAAATCGAATTGTCCTCTACCCAAATTTATATAATACCTTTTAGTGTAGTTAAGCCAGCTGATCAGTTAAACCTGTGTTTCTCAAACTTAGCCAGTTTAGATCTGTGGACTTCAACTCCCAGAATTCTGGCTGGCTAGGGACTTCTGAGAGTTGAAGTCTACACATCTTAGTTGCCAAGTTTGAAAAAGACTGGTTCAACTAATTCATTAGTGAATGGCTAGGGCCTAGGCCAGGGGCTATGCTGGCTCAGGAATTCTGGGAGTTGAAGTCCACGAGTCATAAAAGAGCCAAGGCTGCCTACCCCTGCACTAGGCTATGTTAGTCATGCTCCATTTTGCCAATTCAGTTACAGATTTACATTTTCTTGCATTTTGTGCCAAATTTTCTGGAAGAGTGCAAGTGGACCTAAATTTAATTGATTAATTTATATAATAATGGATTTGCTTGCAAGCTGCTTATTAAGCCATCTCTTTTTTAACCGCCAGCATGCCTCCAAGCTTGGATGTTAGGAGGAATTTCCTAATGGTAAATGCAGTTTGACAGTGGAATCAGAGATCTGAGAGTTAGCCAGCTTTCCTTCGCTGGATACGTTTAATAGAGACTGGAAGCAGCTGTTTGTGTCAAAAGCCACGACAATGCCAAGATAGCAACAGGCAATTATGATCTATAAATGCCACAATTATATATTGGTTGTCAGCCTTCCTTCAGCCTTGATTGGAAGCAAGGAATAAGAATCCAAGATCTTTATCTGAAGGAAGATAGAAATGATTAACATAAGCACTGTAATAAGTACTCTATTTTCAAATGAGAAACAATTTAGAACAACAAAACTCTGTTTTTCCTCTGGACTTTCCATACAGCAGATTGTTTGGCTCTGCCTTTTGAGAAGGAAGGTCATCTTCCTTTATTTCATCAATTTGATAGTTGATAGCTGTTTTAACAACAGGAGAAATAACCGTCCCACTTGTGCCACGACATCTGATACCAGAACATAAATTGTAGCATCGGTGCTACAACTAGTCCTCAACGTTTGCCCAGAACTGGGAGCAGAAATTTCCATTGTTAAGCAAAGCGCTTGTGAAATGAATCATGCCTGATTTTGTAACTTTTTTTGCCACGGTTGTTAAGCGAATCACTGCAGTTCGATGAATGATGCCGCCGTTAAGCAAATCCAGCTTCCCCCATTGACTTTGCTTGTCGGAAGTCAGCTGGGGAGGTTGCAAATGGCGATCGTGTGACCCTGTGACGCTGCAACCCTCGTAAATACACGCTTGGCCATTGCCAAGCATCAAACTGTTAATCAAGTGACTGCGGGGATGCTGCAATGTATGATTGACAGTTATACATCACTTTTTTCAGTGTGTTGTAACTGCAGACAGTCCCTAAACAAATGGTTGTAAGTCGGGGACTACCTGTGTTACACATGTGTTATCATTTGCTTCCTTCCATTGGACGCCTAATGATTGCTTATGGTTGGACAGCCATCTCTTGAGGGTCATTTTGATTTGGGTCCCTGCACTCAGCAAGGTTGAGTCTAAGATGGTACTGTGTGTGTGTGTAAAAGAGAGAGAGAGAGAGAGAGAGAGAGAGAGAGAGAGAGAGAGAGAGAGAGAGAGAGAGAGAAACTGACTCTACTTTTTCCCACATCTCTCTTCTCATCCATGTATAATTTTTATTGAAAAATGAAAACATCTAAAGCAGTGTTAATAAAAAAAAGATGAAGGAAAAAATGATATTCGACAAAAGAAGCAGCATCCGATTTTCTTTACAGCAGTTATAAACAAGCTTATTTTCTCCCTCTCCCTTTAAGTTTTCATACATACTTCTCCTCTCCCCATATCCAACCTTTTTTTTTAATTAACAAAAACAAAAATCACCCAGCTCATTCTGAACTGTTTTCAGCAAAAAAAAAAAAAAAAATCCATCAAGGATTTTCAATCTTTTGTGAAAGCGCTTATTATTTTACACATGGTTAAACAAGTTTATTTTGTATTCTTTCCTCCTAGGCAATCTTCTAATACGAAGTTTCCCAAACTTAGCGACTTTAAGATGTGTGGACTTCAACTCCCAGAATTCCCCAGCCAGCCATTCCCCATGCTGGCTGGGGAATTCTGGGAGTTGAGGTCCATAAATCTTAAAGTTGCCATGGTTGGGAAACCATATTCTAATAGATGTTTCTTTGGGCAAAGTTAACTTGGTGTTGAAGTATTGTTGTATAACTTGATCTCTTCTGGTCCCACGTCTCTCTTCTCCAGATACTCATTCTCCAGAAAGCTCTTCAACAGCCGCCTCCCGGCCTGCTGCCCAATCAGATCCCGCAGGAAACTGAGAAGTTGCTGCTCATCTACGTCCGGGTGGCCACTTGGAACCAGATTCTCGATCCCTGGGTCTACATCCTCTTCCGCCGAGCAGTGCTGAGACGCATCTACCCCAGCTTCAAGGCCAGGCCTTCTATTGTCTCCCTTTACCCGGTGCTCAACCCATCCCTACGGAGGAAATTTACTCAGGAATCGGTGTTGCACTAGCAAGATATTGCGCTGAGGTCCAGCTCATAGGATTCCCACTTTAACAGGGCAAAGGGAGCCCTGGAGTGCTATGCTTTTACCCGTAGTCCTCAACTTACGACCACAATTAGTCCCCAAATTTCCATTGCTAAGCGAGACGGTTGTGAAGTGAGTTTTGCCCCAAATGATGATCTTTCTTGCCACGGTTCTTAAATGAATCACAGCAGTTGTTAAGTTAGCAACACACTTGTTAAGTGAATCTGGCTTCCCCACTGACTTTGCTTGTCAGAAGTGTGAAAAAAGTGGCCACATTACTCTGGTCACACTACAACCCATCATAAATACATGCCACTCGCCAAGTGGCTGAGTATTGATCATGTGACCATGGGGATGCGGCAGGGGTGTACGTGTGAAAAATGGTCCTCACTTTTTTCTGTGCCTTGTAATTTTGAACGGTCACTAAACAAATGGTCGTAAGTCGAGGATTACCCACACTATAACTTTGCTGCTTGATAGTTTGCATTGGGGTAAAGGCCCTGGAAGTGTACTAGGACCTCCCTCTAAGCAACAGTACTATAAGTACTCTGTTGGATGTCGCCTCTCAGCTCTAGCCATAGCCTCAAATGTAGCATGTAGCTTCACATTGGATTGCCTGACGTGCTTTCTGAGAGTGGAAAGGACAGTTCCTCACAATGGAAGAAAGGCAGGAAGGTCACAGGAAGTCCTCAACTTACGACTAGTAAGCTTAACGACCCTTTGAAGTTCCAACCAACCTCCCTCTCCCAAAAGCTGCTTACAACACAGTTCCAAAGATCTGATGCCGTCCGCCCCCCCATCCTCTGCAGTTGCTTGACTGCATTTGGGATGCAATTGGACCACATTTCTGGCAGTTTGCAGTACCCCACCGTCACTTGACCCTGATTTGTGATGGTTTTGCCATATTTCCAGCAAAACTCAGCCCAGAGCAAACAATGGATTCACTTTAACAATCACTATGGAAAAGATCATAAAGTCTGATCTGGTTACATAGTGACCCGCTTTAATGACTTACAATTGTAATTGCCAGCCTCAGTTATGTTCATAACAGGAGGACTACCTGTAGTTTGGCAACCTGACACAAGAAGAAGTCAGTTTTTAAGCATGAAGTTGGTTAATTAATGGGGAAATTGATCCCCAGTGGAACTTCAGAGAAGAAGACTAAATGCAGGATGACCAGGGCAATTCAAAATGCATGGGGGCCATGTACATGATTGTTGCAGTAATAAATCCTGTGGCAGTATACAATATATTTGTGATGGTCATCTTTTGGAAGTGGGGCTGGATTCTTTCACTGTCCTGGCAAGCTGGATTTCAAAGCATTGGAAAATTACTGTGGTTGTTTCAAGTTGAGTTTGCCCCAAGCAATCCCTATATCCAGACTGAAACAAGTGCACACATCGCTCAGTTCAGCTAGCAAAAATGTAAAAAGCTTGAGGTTTATTTATTAAATATCAGCTAATATTAAATTAAAAAAGCCTCAGCTGGCCAAACCAGGACAAAAGGCAACTGAACGCAGGGTGAAAGAAGGACATGAGCAATATGCAAGACTTTACCTGATCTACATACATATCTATATATATTGAGAAGCATAGAAGTTTCCAAATGCACTGGAAGTAATACTGTAAATCAAGGCCGTCTAAACCTTGGCAAGTCCCAAAAGTGCTTTTTCAAGAGGCAACTGGATTTTCTTGTTTTTCTTTGCAGATGTTTTACTTCTCTTCCAAGAAGCTTCTTCAGCTCTGAAGAAGCTTCTTGGATGAGAAGCAAAACATCTTCAGGAAGAAGCTTCTTGGATGAGAAGCAAAACGTCTTCAAAGAAAAACAAGAAAGTCCAGTTGCCTCTTGAAAAAGCACTGTTGGGGCTCGCCAAGGTTAGATGCCCTTGATTTACAATATTACTTCCAGGACATTTGGAAGCAGTTTTTAAAAACATTTTTAATTATTTCAAAAACAAACTAACAGACATAAACAAAATTGCATATAAAACACACACATAATTGTTGAAGTGGGTAAGAGGATTGTACATAGTGCACAGAAAAGGAGTGTGAAATAGCTTAGCAAAAAAAAAAAAAAAAAGTAACGGCAGAAGATAAGAAAAAGAAAAGGAAACACAGTGTAAACTCATTTACACCAATATGTTCCCCATACCTTCTTATCCTTATAAATCATCCTTGTTCCCAGTATCCATGGACCACTTCATACACCACCTTTTTGGCTTTAAATTCAACTCTCTCTTTTTTAGGATCACAGCAAGACCACTCCTCCACCCAAACTCCTTTCTCGGGTCCTTCTTTTTGATTCATTCTTCCATCTTCATTCATTCACTTTATATAACTAAACTACTTCAATGTAATTCGTATATTCTGATCACTCCCTAGGGTCCTAGGATGTTTTCCTTTTTCTGCATATATATTCAAGCAGACGTTAATTAACTATGAGTTGGAAATGCATCTCTGCATAGTGAAAGGAGGTTGTCCATTCCAACTCTATGAATGATTCTCTAAAATTATTGGACTTAGTAGCCCAGTTGTTCTCTAAAGGCCTCTTGAAACTAATTAGGAACAATTGAAATGGTCTATGCAGGGTAAGGTTGTTTTCGTTCCAAATGGGTCTTCAAAATGACTATCCATTATACATTGGGCAATTCATCAAAGGAAGAATAGGTGAGGAATCTTACCTTCCTCAAGAGACTGGTCTTTAGGAGAAATTTATCTTTTTTAAAAAACCAATCACTAACTAAGAAAAATACATAAGGAATCAGGGGTCTCCTCAGAGAATAGTTAAAAAGTCAGGATAGTAGTTGCAACTGTGGGATTGAAATTCCCATTTTTTAATGGGTGTTGCATGTGTCATACTATCGTGGCTGTCCTCTTGACTTACTTCACTATGCCCTGCAGAAACCACTGTGAAGAATGATGGTTTGAATCCTTTCCAGTTACAAAACTGGACTAAAAATACTCAGCCTAAACAAAAGCCTAAAACCCACCCTTAACAGAAGCCTGACAATACCCATCCTTACCAGAAGCTTGAACTGAAAGTGTGGTGGGTTGCCAGGAAGCAGTGTCTTTTCTAGCATTGTAATTTCAGAATTACCTATTCTGCAATTATGAGAAGTGCATCTTAAATTTCTTAACCAAAGAAGGTGCCATCCTGACCTGTTAACCTGGACCTACAATGTAGCAATTGTATTTTGGAATACTACTGGAAGTACTGTATATCAAGTATAGATGCTAACTAGAAGTAATCGCCCCAAATGGTAGTATCTCTCTGTTCCCTCCATACAGGTTAAGTTCCTTCAACCCCAATAGGAGAGCATGTGGTGCTACTATCTGAAGTGACCCATGGAAATTTTGCAAAGGTGTCATCCTTGAGCCATAGGTTATAATTCTGGATGGAAATCCCAAATGTTGTGTGCAAGATAAGGAGAATGCCAGCGTAGAGAAAGGAAAAAAAGAAACAGCCTTCGTTGCCCAACTGATCTCCTGAAACTACTCAAGAGATTTCCCTGCTCTTGCAAACTGCAGTCCACACCTCTGAGACAAACTCTTCTGGGAAGGTAAATTCACCCAGGAGCAAATCCAGTCCACGAGCAAAGTCTTCAGGGCTCTGGCATTCTTTGGTGATCTCCACCATGCTCGATGCTGTGGAAAGTGGGCCTGAGGTTAGGACTCAGCATTGGGATAAAACATCATTTGGAGCAAAGACATATTTGCACATGAACTGGGTGCATTCATAAAAAGGCTGCTAGGGAGGGCCTAGCCTGTGGTGGGACACCCAATTGAAGACAAAGTGTACTCTAGGACAGAGGTCCCTAACCTTTTGGGCGCCAGGGACCGAACTTTCTGTGGACCGGAGAGTGCGTGGTTTTGTGTGCTGCCTGCATCTCGCGGATGGGGCTTTGCTTGTTTGTGCGGACTGGTTGCTGGCATGCCACGGCCCAGTACCGGTCCATGGACCAGGGGTTGGGGACCCCTGCTCTAGGATATTGTTCAGCATCTCAGTGAGAACCCATGGAACCCACAGGTCCTCCTGCAAATAAATATGAAGGCTGAACTCTAAAGCTCCCTCCTTCTGTTATGTATTCAAGATGGATAGTGATTAATATTTATGTTATTTATATGTAAGGGTATAGGTCTATACATATGTTGTACATAGTATGTTTAAATGTGTGTAATGTATGTGTACACTTTGAGAGCAAGCAACTAAATTTCATTTTTAATGTATGCTGTTGTGCCCACAGTAAAAAATGACAATAAAGGTTATCTAATCTAAAAACAAAATCTAATCGCGGCATGCTCGCTACCCAGTTAATTCAATAGTTAGCCAGGATCCTTGTTTAATTATTAATTTAATCAAGAAGCCTGATGGATACCAATCTAGTGGGTGGCCCAGCAGTTCCATCTCCTGAATGGAGGAGATTGGAGGCACAAGGGTGTCCAAGGGTGCCACATTGTCTACCTCTGAGATCGTTTTTAGACAAAATTAAGGGAAGGCCAGTCATAACCTAAAGAACATTTTCTAGGATAGTTCTCTTTATCTCTCTTTGTTAGCTTCATTTCACATGCAATCATGTATGAATTGTCTTGCTGTACCAAACTGAAAATCCATCTTCCTCAATAGTCATCCAAATTCAGCACCCTTCTCTACAGCGGTGTTTCTCAACCTTGGCAATTTTAAGATATGGTGGACTTCAACTCCCAGAATTCCCTAGCCAGCTGGCTAGGGAATACTGGGAGTTGAGGTCCACCACATCTTAAAGTTGCCAAGGTTGAGAAACACTATCTACAATATAATTCCCCAAATCCAGAATCTGAGGTAGGTGTCTCCTAATCAGGATGTTCCATCCAGGGCATAGTGAGGCAAGGTGAAAGGAATCTTCATATTTTTTTTTCAACCATATCATGCGTCATTCCCTACTCACCCAATTCGAGATCACGAATACCCATGTAGCTTTCCAATAAGTCATCCATTTTTTCAGCAGCTTCCTCCTCAAACTCACTTGGCTGTGAACAGAAGAAGAAAGGCGATCAAATGGAGCTGAAATGCCAGTGTTGACAGGAAATTCTTATAGTGTTTCTCAACCTTGGTGACTTTCAGACGTGTGGACTTCAACTTCCAGAATTCCCCAGTCAGCCAAGGTGATTGGGGAATTTTGGGAGCTGAAGTTCACACGTCTTCAAACCACCAAGGATAAGAAACATTGGGCTGCACAGAAGCACAGAAGCTTCAGAAGCAATGAAATTTGGTGCCTTCTCATGACCATTCAGAGGCTCTCCTGCTACAGCTGGCTAGGCACCTAACAGGCATTTTCTTGAGGTTAGCTAACTTCCAACCAGCCACCAAGTTTCTTATATTCAGTACTATAAAAATATGGGCATCCCCATATTTAATCCGATCCCTGTCCCAGAGCATACTCACTGCCTGCTCTATGGTGGCAGTGCCCGTTGCACGCAGCCGTAGTGTCTCCTTTCCGCTGCCTATTTTCCCCTCACTTGAGCTCTTGCTGCTTCGTGTCCTCTGGCTGATCATATCTACAGAGGGGAGGAGAAAAGAAGTTCAAGAAGTCAACATCAAAGACAGTGGATGTAACAGAACATGTCTGAGCACAACAAAACTCTTCAACAGAATGAAAAGGTTACAGAATTCACTTTTTTTTGCTAGAACCCCTTGAAGTTCATAAACAACTGGGTAAAACAGAAAATGGGGGTGGAATAAAAAAATGGCATGAAGACTAGAGGTTAATTATTACACCTTGTAAGGCATCTACTAGGAGAGGAATGCCATTCCTTTGGGCCACTGCCATATCTGGAATTTGGGGAGCATGTTATGGACACACTCACAAAAGATCAACTATGGGATGCAGCCATCCACATGTTATTTGCTGAGAAGACTTCTGAGATTTATGAGGTGATGCTATCATACACGTATGTTTTAGGCTAACACTTTGGTAGCATGCTTATCGACCCTTTAATTTCTTTTTAAATTAAACACATCTTTAAAAAATTAAAATCAAGTAGGGCAGAGAACCATGTCAAGGATCGAGAAATGAGAATGACAGTCATATGTAATTCTCAAGCCCTTAAACAAAACTTCAACGGTAGGATTATTGGGTCAAACTGAATTAATGACTGAAGATAGGAAATGATAGATGATGAAGATGATGATGATATGATGGTGATGATAAGGTGGGACCACAATATAGACAAATAGAAAAGAAACTAAAGTGCTCTGGAATTCAAACAGACAAGTACTTGCTATATACTGTCTTTCCCCGAAAATGAGACCTGGTCTTTTTTTTTTTTTGCCTCCAAAAAGGGCACCAGGTTTTATTTTGGGGGGGGGGGTATTTTTTCCACTCACCTCTGGCACTGACAGCCCCATCCAGCCGGTCCACATCTGCAGCTGAAGAAGCAGCTTCATTCTGCAGCTGAGAATGGAGCTCTGGCCTGCATTTCGCAGTCAAAGGCCTTTCCGGAAGGTCACTGCAGCCAAGAACCAAATTATGAATTGAATCCATAGCTTGATTCTTGGCTGAAGAGGCCTTCCAGAAAGGCCTCTAACTGGGAAATGCAGGCCTGGGGATGCCACAGAAGAAGTGGGCCAGCAAGGAGAGGCCTGACTGCAAGGTAAGTGGGTGCAGGCATGTGGGACAGCTCCACACCCCCACCCTAGCTTGATTTTTAGGTGTGTGCCTCGCCCTAAAACTAGGGCTTTTTTGGGGGGGTAGGGCTTATATTAGGCCCAACCCCAAAAATCAAGCTTGGGCTTATTTTCAGAGTAGTTTTTACTTTCAGGGAAACACAGTAATACTCCAGACTTAAAAATTGTTGATAAAAAAGACAAAACAATCTGGAGAGTGGCTGTGACAGTACCTAGAGATAGCAGAATAGAAGAGAAAGAACTGGAGAAAATCATAAAATTCAAAGACTGGCAATTAAAACAACTGTGGCAAAATAAAGCAAAAATAGAATCAATAGTGAAAGGCACCTTGGGTGCCATCCCAAAACATCTGGAGCACCACTTGAGCACCACCACCAACATCTGGAGCACCAACATTGACGAAATCAGCATCAGTCAATTTCAAATGGCTACTTTACTTGGAACAGCTTATATCCTATAAGATACCTTTAACACCATTGAATCACAACATCTGTCTATCCCAGGTCCTTGGAAATGACTAAATAGATGGACAAAATGCAAAATCCAGTCTAAACATCTGGCTGACTAGGCGATGAACAATGACTTTAATTCTTAAAGTGCCATTTTTTAAAGTTAGCAAGTTGTATCAAGTCATTGTGTCGCATTTTACAGAAGGACTAGTCTGAGGATCAGTAGGGTGTTTCGGAAAGCACTATGAGCTGGAGCATCCATTGGGGAGGTCGAAAAAGTCAAGATGGGCATTACAACTGTGTGATTGAAGTCCTTTTGTATGTGTGAAACGTGTAAAAAAGGAATGGGGCTTCAACCACACAGTCACAGCAACTGTTTTGACTTTTTATATCCTGCCTGGACATCCTTTGCTCTGAGTTATTCAATCCTTTCCTCCCTAAGAGGGGAAAAAATGCAGAAAAAAATTAAGGAGAAATCTGAAGGGATTCCAAATTGAGCATGGAGGTATCAGGAGAACACAATACTCCCCTATGAAATAGTTGAAATAAGGTTGGACAATTGCACAGCAGCAGATTTCTATGAAGTACCCATAACCACTTTAACAATACAAATACTCCTCAACTTACAACCACAATTAAGCCCAAAATTTCTGTGCTAAGCCAGGCAGTTGTTAAATGAGTTTTGCCCCTCTTTATCATCTTTATTGCCACAGTTAAGCAAACCACTGCTTCACGGTTAAGTGAATTGTGTCATTGTTAAACAAATCTAGCTTCCTTCTTTGACTTTGCTTGCTGGAAGCCAACTGGGAAGGTTATAAATAGTGATCATGTGATCCCATGCCAGTTGCCAAGGGCCTGAATTTTGATCACATAACCATGGGGATGCTGCAACAGTTGTAAGTGTGAAAAACAGTCATCAATCAATCATCTATGGAGATTCTCAGACATCCATGTGATAGTTGTCCCAAAGATGCTTTCTTCACGAGGCAACTGGACTTTCTTGCTTTATTTTGAAGACATTTCGCTTCTCATCCAAGAAGCTGAAGAAGCTGCTTGGATGAGAAGCAAAATGTCTTCAAAGAAAAAAATAAGAAAGTCCAGTTGCCTCATGAAAAAAGCATCTTTGGGACAGTCAAAAATCACTTTATTCAGTGTTATTGTAACTTCAAATAATTACTAAACAAATAGTTTTAAGTCAAGGACTATCTGTGCATATTTCCCTCACAGAAATGGAGAACTTCTAACCATACAGCTCTGAGCATCCTACACTATGGACCACGCTGGCTATGACTGCTGGAAGCTGTTATCTGCCCTCATTCGAGGAGCACAGATTCCCATGCCAACCTCTTTTTCATTTTAGCAGCCTAAATTAGAAAGGAAAACAAGAGGGTTTTTTGTTTTGCTTGTCGCAACAGGGAATCAACTTCAACCTAGAATCAGTCTGAGATCCTAAACCATATTTCTAACCAAAGCTGGGAATTGTTCTCATCCGTGACATTCTTTCAAAATGGCGGGTCAAACTGTTCTGCTTATTATTATTTCAGTAAGGTTACAATATACATCAGCTGCTCCTAAGGAAAGATCAGCTCCTTGGGGAGCTGATAATATTTAGAATTTCCATAAGACAGCAACCTGCTTTCCAAACTGCAAGAAGGATGATTTTCTAACCTTGATCTGACTTCCTGATGTGCTAGATATAAATAAAAGGAAGAGAAAGGAAGGGAGGAAAATATGAAAACCAGGGAAAAACAAGAAAGAAACCAGGAGAGGCTTTAACCAAGACTGGATTTTTATAACATAATCTAAGGCTGTTAAACAATTTTAAGCAAAACCAAAGCTTGAAAGAACACACAAATAAAGGAGAAAACAATCCTGAATAGCAACAATCAAAGCAGCAAATAAAATGAAGACTAAAGCAAAAAAAAAAAAGTATTTCCTGCCTCAAATAATTAAACAACAAACAAACAATGCAAGCATCAATTCTTTGGGGAAGCTTTTCATAATCTTGGTGCCCCTGTAGAGAAGACCCTGTCCCTTGTTTTCATCAATTTATCCACTGTTGAGGATGAGCTATAGCAAAGGACCTCTGAACTAGATCTTAAATTACATCAAGATTAACATGGGAAAAAAGGGATTATTCAGATATTTAAAACAGCTTGGATTCTATAGATAAGAACCAGCATTATGAACTGAGATCAAAAGCAAAATGGCAACCACTACAACTGGCATTTTGTTTAAATTTGAGACAGAATTGCTGATGAAGTAAGATGAGTAGTCCTCGACTTACAACCATTCATTTAGTGACCATTTGAAGTTACAGCAGCACAGAAAAAAATGACTTATGACGGTTTTCACACTTATGACCATTGCAACATCTCCATGGTCATTGATCAAAATTCAGATGCTTGGCAACTGACTCATATCTATGATGGTTGCTGTGTCCCGGGGTCATGTGATCCCCTTTTGCAACTTTCTGATAAGCAAAGTCAATGCAGAAGCCAGATTCATTTAACACCTGGGTTACTAACTTAACCACTGCAGTGATTCACTTAACAACTGTGACAAGCAAGGTTGTAAAATGGGGAAAAACTCACTTAACAAATGTCTCACTTAGCAACCTAAATTTTGGACTCAGTTGTAGTCATATGTGAAGGGCTACCTGCAGAACAGGTAATCTATCTATCTATAGCAGTGGTTCTCAACCTTTTTAATGCCGTGACCCCCAACCGGTCGTAAGTTGAGGACTACTCAACCGGTCGTAAGTCGAGGACTACTCAACTGGTGCAGCACCGTTTGCAGAATGGGACTTTTGGTGGGCTCAGCAGGGCAGAGACAGCTGGACAATTCCTATTGGCTTTTGAAAGCCAATAGAATTAGACTCTATTCAAGAGAGTCTATTCTATTGGCTTTCAAAAGCCAATAGAATAAAAGGGAGTAGCACAGCTAAGGAAAAGGGGAAAAAAATGGCGGACTGCGTTGTTTGGCGACCCCCGTGAAATGGTCGTTCGACCCCAAATGGGGTCATGACCCACAGGTTGAGAATCACTGATCTATAGAGACTGTGAATTCTCCAACTCTGAAGGTTTTTAAGAAAATCTTTCATAGGGGATTTGACTGATTTTCCTGCAGGTTGCAGAGGGTTGGACTAGATGATCCTTGTGGTCCTTTCCAAATCTACAGTTTTATTATTCCATAATTCATTCTGTATAACTCTTCCAAACCTTCACCTTCATCTTCCAAACCTGTCAGGCCAACTGATCAGCAAGAGTACAAGAGGAAGCATCCCTGATCATGATTACAATCCCTCCTTTATGGCTTGTGACATCATTGGCCTCTTTCTGAACACGAGTCTAGTGCTCTTTTGAAAGAGTGTTAAACCCATGTCCAAAAGAACCTGGAGAAAAGCTGCAGATATGGAGGAGGGTGTAAGAAGAGGCTGAAGCCTGTATCTCAGTTCTACTGAACAATTTTACAGGTGACTAAACCTGTGTTCAATGAACCCATCAACATTGGGATCAACCATGCATTAAAGAGAAGGATTAGAAATTATTTTTCTTGCTGTCAGAAATGCTCAACAGGAAGGAAAAAGCAGGAAGAAGGAAAAAGTCCTTAGCTTTTAAGGACAATACTCTGGTCTCATCAATGAAGCAGAAAAGACCTGGACCATCAGAGGAGAAAAACAATATTTTATGCATTTGATTTTGCTGGCTCAGGAACTACTGGAGGGCACTTTAAAGTGACTGACTGGCTGTTCCTCAGTGATGCTGGGCTGTGTTGCTAGGCCCACAGCGGGACTCTGTGGTCCTGCCTCTCCTCAGTACTCAAATATCCACTCACCAAAAGCTCGTTTAGGCTGCACCAAGCGCAAAGTAAATGACTGTGCCTGGGGCATCTCGCGCAACATCTTGGCAACTTCGTAGTGGCGGCATCCAACAATGGTTTGGTCATTAATGGCTTCAATGCTGTCCCCAACAGAGACCATTGGAATGCGGTTCATTATGCTACCTTCCTTAATACGCTATAAGATGGGGAAGTAGAAAAGGGAAAGATTAGAAAGAGAAAAATCCTATCTAAGGCCTAATGACCTTCACTAATCTTGAAAAGTGAGGTAGGTAGGAGCAGCATTTTTTCTCAGCTTTAGCAACTTGTAGATGTCTGGACTTCAACTCCCAGAATTCCCCACTGAGCATGCTAACTGAGGAATTCTGGGAGTTGAAGTTCAGATATCTTCACGTTGCTAAGGTTGAGAAACACTGGTGACAGGATGTGGTAAAAATGTCAAAATGGCAGCTGCAGCAGCACAATCTAACTTCCACCTATTTTTTAAAAAGGCAAAGTTTTGAGAGCTCTGGCGTAAGGGAGATTGGCATAACCTATTTATGGAGAGAATAGGATTGGAGCGAGTTGTGGAAACCATCTATACCAATTTGTTTAGAAGATAGGTGTGATAAATGCAACATGAACAACTGAGTGGAAAATGGGGATAGAACCTAATGGGCACAAGTCGAAAATGGATTTTACTGACATGGTGAATCTTCTGGAATAATTTATTTATTAGATTTGTGTGCTGCCCATCGTGTCTATTTCATCCAGTCCCCCCCAAAAATCGCCTCATGTTGCATGTATCAGTTATCATTCCTCCTTGCCAGTACTGAGAAACATGGCCCTGCAGATAGAAACATAGCTATTGAAAATCAGCATGTCAGTCTTTTACCCTATTCCCGAAGACCTACCTTGATGAAAGCATAGCCAGCTCCATTATCTGTGATAGTAAGTCCCAGAGCATCCTCTGTTTTGGTGACTTCCACCTCCTTGGTATCACCGCGGACATGAGCGAAAATGAAATCCTCCAAACCAATCTGGCCGCCCAGCAGCTTCTGCATATCTACCTTGTGGGTGTTCAAAGTGCAGAACAGGATCTGGAGAGATGTGCAAATGCATTTGTATGTTATATAGGGAAAAGGTCTCTGTGGAAGAAGTCAAAAGGTCTGAAAAGCCGTTTGGAGGGCAAAGCCTTTTGGAGCCCTCTTATTGCTCTTGCTTTTAGAAGGAGAAATGGTAAGATTAAAATGGGGAGGAAAAGATGGCAGTTCTTACAGGCATCTTCACCCTGGACTGGAAAAGACACCCCCCCCCCGCATAAGGAAAACTACATTTGAGGATATTCTTCCCTAGTAATGCTTGTCTCCATCTTTCTGCCTGTCTGCCATCTTCTCCCGCTATAGACTGTATGCCTTGTGAGAACTGAGCTTTCCAGCTCAAATTACTCCTTAATTCCTTGCTCTCATTTCACCCATGGCTGAAGTTTTCATGGGCCCAAACAGCTCCCACCTTGCATTGCTACCCCCCCCCCCCCGTCTGCTTCCAGACATAGTGAAAACTCTTCAGTTGCCCCTTCATGCCTTCTCCTCCCCAATCCCTCTTTGGTCCTGGAACCTGATAATTAACCCTTTGTATTTCCTCTTTCTGTTCTGTTATCCTGAGCTAGTTCATGGTCATTTTCCCTTGGCCCCTTTGTTGTGTGATACTGGAGATATTTTTCACAATATCTACACAATAATACCTCTCTCTTTGGACATAATGCTAAACTTTTCATCTTGTCATTGTATATTCTTAATTGGATGCTTGCTACATCAGCACACGTTTCCGTGGTCCTTCCTTCTTTCCTTCTCCTCCCTCTTCCATTTTTCTTACTTCCTTCCTCCCCCCTTCCTTCCTTCCTTCCCTCCCTCCCAGTAAAAAAGTAACATAGACTATGGTACAGTCACATTGAACAGCTAACTACCCATCATAGGCATTTGAACCTGGCATCCTTGCCTAATGCTTTGGTAAATCTTTTCGGTGCCAAGGACCAGGCACTGGGCTGAAAGTCTGAGAGCCTGGCCCCTTCCTTCAATGCTTCCAGCACACTAAGTGGCCTCATCCTTACCTCTGTTGAGGAGATGTCGAAGACCTCTGCAATTTTGGCATAGAGCTCCTTAACATTGGTGAACCCCTCAATCTTGGCAGTGGAGCTCCCGTGGGCCAGCTGAGTGTGGAAGATGAGCCGAGGCCGGACCCGGGGTGGGGGCGGTCCTGGAGCTGCGCTGTTCTGGCTGGGAGCACCTCTTCCCCGTTCTGCAGGGGGCTGAGAGCCTCCAATCTCCTGGACCACACCGTTTTCCATGGGGGACCCCTTCTGCTGCTCTGTGTTGCCTTTCTTGCACTGCTTTCCAGACTTCCGTAGCATGCCAGGTGTTTGAACAATGGGGATGATGGCCTTGATTAAATTATTGATGTTGCAGGTGGAACAGCAAAGCCGTAAGGCGATCCCAGCTTTGGTAAGCTACTTGGAAACCTGATCTCCCACCTTCCAGTGGACAGTTCAGTTTGAGCTGCACCTATTCCTGAAGATGCCACTGCCCAGCCACAGGAGACAAACATGCAGGAAGCTACAGGAGAAAAATGCCCAATCTGGCAACCTGAAGCACATGAACGTGCAAACTATTTTTGTCTCTGGGTGTTTGCAGATGCTATCAGTTTCTCTAGGGAATACAGATGTTTTGCTAGTATATCTGGAGCACATGAGGCCCTGTTGCTCATTTCTTTTATTTATGAAAAACAATTTGTGTCTGATTTTCTCAGAGAATGTTAAAATGTCTATGTTGTTTTTCCGACAGGTAGTCCTTGACTTACAATCGGCTGCTTATGACTATTCAAAATTAGACAGACACCTCCCGCCGCCCCCCTTAAAAAAGCTACTTATGACCCAGTTCCGAAGTTCTGATGGCCGGACCCCTCCTGTGGCCATGTGACCAGTTTTGAGTAACTGATAACTAGCCCTCATTTATGACCGTCTGCACTTTACCATGGTTTACAACCATTTAACCGAAAACTGGCATTTATTCCCGGTTTTCAGCAAAATACCCTAGAGCCAACAATGGGTTCTCTTAACGACTGCCACATTTGCTTTACAACCACAGCAAAAAAGGTAATAAAATCACATTTATGACCTAATTGGCAAGCTCCATTTCAACTTCTTCCCTCAAGACAGACGCTATAGGGCAGAGGCCCTCAATCTTTTGGGCACCAGGGACCGGTTCCGTGGAGAGAGGTTTTTCTGCGGAATGGAGGGGGCATGGTTTTGTGAGCTGCCTGCATCCCGCAGATGGGGCTTTGCTTGTTTGTGCAGCCCAGTTGCTGGCATCCTGTGGCCCAGTACTAGTCCACGGACCGGGGGTTGGGAATCCCTGCTATAGGACATTACATGTCAAAAGAACCAGATCCAAAGACAGTTTTTTTCCCCCATGCTATTGCTCCACTAAACAACTAATTCCAACAACACTTATATCCTGGAATGTCAAACCACCTAGTTTGGCTGTATTATCTATTATCCTTCTCATCTTCCCTATTAACTATTTCCTTAACTTATGACTATAATTTTGTTGTTTGTATCTCATGATTTATGTTGATTGCTTTTATTAGTACCCTATTATTTATTTATTTATTTATTTCTAAAATTTATATGCCGCCCAATCCCAAGGGACTCAGGGCGGCGTACAAAATTAAAACAATAATCTGACAATAAAACAAGAAAATAAATACATTCATACAGCGTGTCCGATCATATCCCGCCCTCCCCCCGGGGACATCAGCCCCAGGCCTGCCGGAACAGGAGAGTTTTAATGGCTTTCTTAAAGGCCGGCAGGGTGGGAGTAGTTCGAACCTCGGGGGGAAGTTGATTCCACCAGGTCGGAGCCACCACAGAAAAGGCCCTTCCCCGAGGGCCCGCCAGCCGACATTGTCTGGCCGACGGGACCTGAAGGAGGCCCAATCTATGGGACCTCACCGGTCTCTGGGAACTGTGCAGCAGTATGCGGTCCTGTAAGTAACCTGTAAGTAACCTTATGATTAAGCTAATGTTTTTAGTGTCCCATTGAGTATGGTATCTTATGATTTATGATTGTATTTTATGATTATGATCATGATTTATCACTTGTTGCTTGTATTTACTATGATGAGAGCTTATGCTCCAGACAAATTCGTTTGTCCAATCACACTTGGCTAATAAAGAATTCTATTCTATTCTATTCTATTCTATTCTATTCTATTCAGAAAAGAAGAAACATAGAATTTGTATAGTTTCCAAAGGATTACAAATAAGCTCGTGCCACTTTAAGAGTTTACAAATGATGCAGAGATTATAGCTGGGAGAAAGTAGGGTATGGTTCAGAGCTATTGCTTCAGGGGAAGCTGAGAATTGTAGAAGAGAAAACGATAGTCAGGATTACTTACAGTGTGCTGAAATTGGAATTTCATCTTGCAGGATCCAGGAAGACAGCCTATTCTGCTGTGGTGCCTGTCCTGTGGAATATTATATACAGTATACATCTTATACATTACCACTTTACAATGCCTTGGTAAGGCCACACTTGGAATACTGCATCCAGTTTTGGTCACCACGATGTAAAAAAGATGTTGAGACTCTAGAAAAAGTACAGAGAAGAGCAACAAAGATGATTAGGGGACTGGAGACTAAAGCATATAAGGAAAGGCTGCTGGAATTGGGTATGTCTAGTTTAATGAAGAGAAGGACGAGGGGGGACATGATAGCAGTATTCCAATATCTCAGGGGCTGCCACAAAGAAGAGGGAGTCAAGCTATTTTCCAAGGCGCCTGAAGGCAGGACAAGAAGCAACGGATGGAAACTAATCAAGGAGAGAAGCAACCTAGAACTAAGGAGAAACTTCCTGACAGTTAGAACAATTAACCAGTGGAACAACCTGCCTCCAGAAGTAGTGAATGCTCCAATACTGGAAGTTTTTAAGAAGAGACTGGACAGTCATTTGTCTGAAATGGTATAGGGTTTCCTGCCTGAGCAGGGGGTTGGACTAGATGACCTCCAAGGTACCTTCCAACTTCATCATCATCATCATCATCATCATCATCATCATCATTATTATTATTGTTATTATGGATCATCGCACAGTCAGCCAGATGTTCAGACTGGATTTGGCATTTTGACCTGGGATAGGCAGATGTGGATGTTTGATGGTATTACAGATATTGTTGCAGGATGGAAGCAGTTCCTAGTAAGGCCACCTTTTGCAATTGACTAATAGCAAATTTGTCAATGCCAATGGTGTTCAAATGGTGCTCCAGTTGTTTTGGGATTGCACCCAAGGAGCCTATTACTATTGGTACTTTATTGCTTGCTTTTCCACAGTCTTTCTATTTCTATTTGTAGATCTTTGTATTTTGTGATCTTCTCCAGTTCTTTCTCATCTATTCTGCTGTCTCCAGGCACTGCCACGTCCACTATCCAGACTTTTTTGTCTTTCTTATCAACAATTGTTAAGTCTGGGGTGTTATGTTGAATTCTGAAGTCCCAGAGCAGTTTAATTTTATCATTTTCTCTGACTTTCTCTATTTTATGATCCCACCAGTTTTTGCTTACAGGCAAATGATTTTTTTTGCAGATCTTCCAATGCACCATTGTTGCTACTTTGTCATGCCGCTGCTTGTAGTCAGTCTGTGCAATCTTCTTGCAGCCACTTACCAGGTGGTCCACTGTTTCTTCAGCTTCTTTGCATAGGCGGCACTTACTGTCTGTTGCTGTCTTCTCAATTTATCATTATTATTATTATTATTATTATTATTATTATTATTATTATTATTATTATTATTATTATTAAATTGGCTCCAATTCTCCTGACTTTTAAGAAGGCCCTGAAGACACAGCTCTGCCACTGAGCCTGGGGGTCTGACAAAGATGAAGGGCTTCTTATATTGGTTATATTGAACTGAAAAATTGACATAATGAATTATGCTAGTGATTGAGATTTTATTTTTTACATTGATTGACAGTTTAACTTGCTTTCCTATTTTTACTTCTCAGCCACACAGAATTGCTTAGATGAGAAGTACTGCAATACAAATCAAATAAATAAGAACATTGACAGCCCAGCCTGTAATATGTTGTAGGAGAACAGGAATTGTATTTTGCTAGCCCAAAATTTTAAAATATTCTGAGGAAATTAACAATGGGAGTGAATGACCCATATTTTCTTGAAGTGATGAGCTGATTAATGAACAATAGATACCAGCATCTCAAATCCACTTCACATAGTTTCATCAGGCGGAATCGGGGGGGGGGGAATCCTCCTGGACATGAGAGCATAATGTATTTTCTTTCTTTCTTTTCTTTTGTTAGAAGTAAGTCTTCATCCTGGTTCATCCAAGCCGGGAATAAATAAGCAAACATGGCAGCTGCTTTGGGAAGGAGGTTACAGTTTTATTGCAGAAAGATGGTTCTTCGGGAAAGTGCAGAGGAGAGAAGGGCTGAGCACATGGGGTAGTAGGTTTTTATACCCCCTTTAGCCTTTTGTTTGGAATAGTTTCCTGTTCCTGTGGCATGAACCTTGAGGCTGTTTCTGAGTGTTTGTCTAGACCACATGGGGTAGTAGGTTTTTTATACCCCCTCCAGCCTTTTGTTTGGAATAGTTTCCTGTTCCTGTGGCATGAACCTTGAGCTGTTTCTGAGTGTTTGTCTAGACCTTGATATCTGTGGTTTAATTCTCTTATCATATCCTGCTTCCCAGGTGATGGGGTTAATGACTCCTAGAGTTTGGATGGGGTATGCAGATCTTCTCTTTTGTCTTGATTGCTCTGGCTCCAACTTTCTGATGGTTTTACATCTGCATTTGTATGGGGCTAAAGTCTTGCTTGGGGCAGAGAGATAGATTTGGGGCCAGGCTTGGTTTTAAAAAGTCCTTTTGAGGAAAAATATATTTTTCTGCCTTTTTAATATTTCCTTCTCTGGGCTAACTTCCCTCACTTTCTTTTTTTCTTTCTAACTTCCCTCACTTTCTTTCTTTCTTAATAGGGAACACAAAGGAAGTTTCTCCTGTTGAATTTCTGCCTGTCTTGCAGATGCTGATTTACTGATTCCTTGCCAATGGCTACAACCTTTATAACCAAGAAACACCGGTCCGGGACTTTTAAGACTTCCGGAAGTGGAGTCACAGTTCCTTTCCACAATTGTTGCGTTGGGCAACAACTTTGTTTTTTGGGACCTGATAGTCTAATGCTGTGCGATTTTATCTCCTTATTTAAAATACGAAGCAAGAGTGGATAGATTATAATAAAAGCAACTCAATGATAAATATGGAGAAGGGCGAGGAAATGCCTCCTAAGTATTTAATTAGAACTCCTATGATGAACACTGCTGCTATTTTTAAGAGCATTTTAAGAGCTCTCATTGGCTCCGGCCAGAGTTCCAACCAACCCATAGGCTTGAAAGTCATGACGTATTCATTACACGCGGGCGGGCGGGGAGAAATAAAGAAGCTGGCCTATCCTGAGAGAGTGGAAGCCGCTCTTCTCCAATCAGCGCCTCGAGAATGAAGCTGGTTTAACATAATGGTACAGCTGGGCGGGGGAAGGAAAGGAGGAGGAGGAGGAGGCGCTTCTGCTGGTGAAAGAGACGAGAAAGAGAAAAAAGAGCAGAAAGATCAGGAAAGTTTTGGGAAACAATGTTGTACAGTAATGGTTGCAATGAGAGGGAGCGGGCAGATCGGCCATACCAAAGACGGAGGCGGGGGGTGGGATGTGGGGCTGCGCAAGGTGGATGATTCCGGAAGAATCCATGAATTATTTGGGGAGATCCGGGGAGGGAAACATGGAGGGAGGGGGGCGGTCTAGCTACCTCTTTTCTTGTCCTCTTCCCACTCTAGTTATTCGAGAGCATTGATGTTAATTTAATGGGGTTTTCTTCCACATGTTGAGATTTTCCGTGTTCCTAGTCTGAATTAGAACAGCCTCAACTAAAACGCTTTTCAAACGTCCCGGATTGCAAAACCCATAAAAACCTCCAGCCAGCATGGCCGTGTGGAGCTTTTCTATGGTAACAATCCCTTAGCTGCAAAATGCTGCAGCCAGTCAAATGTTTTCAGGAGGCTTCCCCAAAAAAGCCTAAGGGTAACAATTCTCCTATTAGCGATGGTACAATGCCTTTGAAAATGGAGGCTCTCTTTTACCTGTCTCACCCTACTCCTCTCTAGAAATTGTTATACTGTTGTTTCTTAAGTTGTGTGTTTCGGCAGTCAGCCTTGCATCTTGAACAATGAATTCCAGAAATTAATATTGTGTAGTGAGCGACTAAGTGAGGTGGGATTGAGGGGAGGGGAGGGGAGGCATCTGCTCCGAATTTGCCATCCATCCATTTCATTGTCGCTCTGTAGAAATTTTAATATAGAATTTCAGCAATATGAATGGAGCATCAATTAATGTTATTGTTCAAATTGGTGTTTGATTCTGCATATACCGCAATGGCTATGTTTGCATAATACAGACTGGCCATACAAATGTGTTGGGTAAATCTGGGCCATGTGGTTAATGATACAGTATGCTATATAAATCTGAAGACTGGGTTGAGAAAACCATGGTTCCATTGTAAACCTATTTAATGAACAAAACATACAGAGGCATTTATTTATCTACCTTAGCATGTAAATTGGAGTACTCATTCCCATGTTGCTAATTATCTTTACAGACGGGGAATCTGTAATTCTCCAGATGTTGGGCAGCAGTCCCCACTAGCCACAGGAGCAGCTGTTGATGTTGCAAGCAGCATTTGGAGGATCGTAAATTCCCCATCACTAGTTTAAGGTTATGTAGCTTCTCAGTCCAAAATACTGAGCTACAGTGTTTTTCAGCCTTGGCAACTTTAAGATGTGTGGACTCCAACTCTCAGAATTCCCCAACCAGCAAGCTAACTGAAGAATTCTGGGAGTTGAAGTCCACAGGTCTTAAAGTTGTCAAAGTTGAAACACACTAAGCTACTGTACATAGATTAGCATTGTAATTCATTATCTGGCAGCTAATTTACTATATAACTGCAATTCTCCTAATTCCCATTGGCTATGCTGACTGGGGATGATGGGGGTAGCAGTCCAGCATAGCTGAAGAGCTTCCATTGAGGAAGAATGTAGCAATGGCCATTCTGTTAATTTACCTAAGAGGGCCATTGTTATATTCTAGAGGAGACATTCTCTTGCAGTTGCCCTCCTAGTCTATTGAAGTTTTCCGGTTAAAAGCTTTTGGACATAACATAGATTGATCCTGCAGTGCCTTTACTTCTTAATCTATGCAAATGGAGCCTCTCTTACAGGGTCATCTTACTTCTGAAACACAATTATTGAACCAAGAAAAAAAGTGAGGTATTTTGTCTTCTTTGCAAGGGCTTTTGCTCAGCCATTGTAAGGGCTAAGTTGCTGGATTCATCATTTAGGCATTCAGAAAAGGAGTTCAGAGATGCAAAGAGCCATTTAATCTTCTGTGTAAATTATTTCCTGCCCAAGCTAATTGTAATTTACACTAATAATTTTCACATGTCTTTTTTAGGTCCCTTAGTTTAAGTGGACGTCTATGGTTTTTTTGAATTCAAGGAAAAGGAATGTCGCAGAGCTCTAAGCAATCTACTGGACTCCTGTAAGTGATGAACACTTTTTATTTTGGAGAGAGGGGACATTGGATTGTGTGTGCTGTGTATGGGAGACGGACAGATTCTATGGGTTATGTATATGATCTTTCTAAAAAAAATCCAACTTGTTATGTAAAACTTTCCCTAAACCTATTTTGAATTGATACAAATGCTATTAAATGTTTAAATTCTCAAAACGTGAAATCCTACATCTTGAGTACATGCAAAATCCCCTTATCCCCTTTTCTTGGGCAGCTTCTAAAATCCTACTCAGCCTCTACTTTCATTTTTGAAATTTAATAGTCCTGGTTATATTTGCATGGCACTGTCCTACACATAGGTTTGTTTGTCTATCCACATATTTATATCCTATCTCTTTTTCTACAACTCAAGGGGGTGTGCATCTTGCTCTTACCTTTTTCCCCCCCTCATAACAATCCTGTGAGGTGACTTGGACTGAGAGAGAAGGACTGGCCTAAAGTGACCCAGCCAGCTTTCATGCTTAAGGGAGGACTGGAACTCAGAGTCTCCTGGTTTTTAGACCAGCACTTTACCCACTACATCAAAATGCCTTATTAACCCATCACATGAGTGTGCTTCATCCTAGTGGATGCTGCCTGTTGATTCTTCCTCTTTGCATCAACAAGGAAGCAAATTAGGCATGTAACTTACACTAATAACTGAACCCAAACTTGCATTTTGTGTGTGTGCCTAAATAAAGCAGGATCATTTCTTTATTAAACACATTTATATAGCGTTCCAACTCACACAGAGATGACTGTGGTACCAATTTAAATCTATATGTTGGCTGCTTATTATCTCAGCTGTTTAGGTTCAATAAAATATTAGCATTGTATCTCTTCACTTTCTGAGCAAATGAGCTCTAGTCTAACCTACAAGCAAATTAGCATACTTGCTTGTATAGTGGTTTAATATTTGTGCTATAATTCTTAACTGAAAACAAATTGGGCATGCCCAGTGAGTCATTGTATTAAAACAGTTTTTTCAATTAGGATGATTTGTTTTTCAATTAATGCTAGGAATCACTTTATGTATTTAAGCTTAAATATGTTTTTTTAAAAGATTTCAAAACTAATCAAAAGTCTGATTGTGTTTCATAGGGCTTTTTTCTAAACAAATAATCCTACACCTTTATTTTTCTCTGTTGTTCTTGTTGTTGTTAATTGCGAAGTCGTGTCCGACCCATCGCGACCCCATGGACAATGTTCCTCCAGGTCTTCCTGTCCTCTACCATCTTCTGGAGTCCATTTAAGTTCACACCTACTGCTTCAGTGACTCCATCCAGCCATCTCATTCGCTGTCGTCCCCTTCTTCTATTGCCCTCAATCTTTCCCAGCATTAGGCCCTTCTCCAGTGAGTCCTTCCTTCTCATTAGGTGGCCAAAGTATTTGAGTTTCAACTTCAGGATCTGGCCTTCTAAAGAGCAGTCGGGGTTGATCTCTTCTAGGACCGACCGTTTTGAACGCCTTGCAGTCCAAGGGACTCGCAAGAGTCTTCTCCAGCACCACAGTTCAAAGGCCTCAATTCTTTTGCGCTCAGCCTTTCTTATGGTCCAACTTTCACAGCCATACATTGCAACTGGGAAAATCATGGCCTGGACTATGCGCACTTTTGTTGGCAGGGTGATGTCTCTGCTTTTTAGTATGCTGTCTAGATTTGCCATAGCTTTCCTCCCCAGGAGCACGCGTCTTTTAATTTCTTGGCTGCAGTCCCCATCTGAGGTGATCTTGGAGCCCAGAAAAATAAAATCTGTCACTACCTCCATTTCTTCCCCATCTATTTGCCAGGAATTGAGAGGGCCGGATGCCATGATTTTGGTTTTCTTAATGTTGAGTTTCAAACCAACTTTTGCACTCTCCTTCTTCACCCGCATCAAGAGGCTCTTTAGTTCCTCTTCACTTTCTGCCATTAGAGTGGTATCATCTGCATATCTGAGGTTGTTGATATTTCTCCCGGTAATCTTAATTCCAACGTTTGATTCATCTAGCCCTGCCTTTCTCATGATGTGCTCTGCATATAAGTTAAATAGGCAGGGCGACAGTATACAGCCTTGCCGGACTCCTTTTCCAATTTTGAACCAATCAGTGGTTCCGTGTCCAGTTCTCGCTGTTGCTTCTTGACCCGCATATAGGTTTCTCAAGAGACAAATAAGATGGTCTGGTGTTCCCATCTCTTTAAGAACTTGCCACAATTTGTTGTGATCCACACAATCAAAGGCTTTAGCATAGTCAATGAAGCAGAAGTAGATGTTTTTCTGGAACTCCCTAGCTTTCTCCATGATCCAACGTATGTTGGCAATTTGATCTCTAGTTCCTCTGCCTCTTTGAAATCCTGCTTGTACTTCTGGTAGTTCTCGCTCCACATACTGCTGGAGTCTAGCTTGTAGGATTTTAAGCATAACTTTACTAACATGTGAAATGAGTGCAATGGTGCGATAGTTTGAACATTCTTTGGCATTGCCTTTCTTTGGAATTGGAATGTAAACTGACCTTTTCCAATCCTGTGGCCACTGTTGAGTTTTCCAACTTTGCTGGCAAATTGAGTGTAGCACTTTTACTGCATCGTCTTTTAAGATTTTGAATAGCTCAGCTGGAATACTATCACCTCCACTAGCTTTGTTGTTGCTCAGATTTTCTAAGGCCCATTTCACTTCACATTCTAGGAGGTCTGGTTCGAGGTCAGTGACCATCTCCTTGTGGTTATCTGGGATGTTAAGCTCATTCTTGTATAGTTCTTCTGTGTAGTTTTGCCATCTCTTCTTAATCTCTTCTGCCTCTATTAGGTCCCTTCCATTTTGGTCCTTTATCATGCCCATCTTTGCATGAAACGTTCCCTTCATATCTCCAATTTTCTTGAAGAGATCTCTGGTCCTCCCTGTTCTGTTGTTTTCTTCTATTTCTTTGCACTGTTCATTTAAGAAGGCATTCTTATCTCTTCTAGCTACTCTCTGGAATTCTGCATTCAATTGGTGTATCTTTCTCTTTCTCCTTTGCCTTTCGCTTCCCTTCTTTCCTCAGCTATTTGCAAAGCTTCCTGAGACAGCCATTTTGCTTTCTTGCATTTCTTTTTCTTTGGGATGGTTTTAGTTGCTACCTCTTGTACCTGTTGTTCTTACTGATTTATTTAACTCTTTAGCTATATCCCTAAACCTTTTTTTTTTTTGAGTTTTGATGGTAGAATTAGTATGTTTTGAAGTTCTCCATTGCTGTTGTGGAAATCTTTGCTTGTAACTTTGGATTACAGGAATGCTGCAAGTAAAACTCAACATGGGAACTTCCTAGTGGCTATTAAGCAGGAGAAAGGCGAGACCCCTCGGTTAATTGGGGAGAAGCCCCATGGCGAAGAAGAGGTGAGCCCCCTGGTGCGTCTATATAAACAGGCTGTCAATTTTGATTTTTTTTTTTTTAAAAAAAAATAGCTCACCTGAGAAGGGAAATGCCCTTAGTAAATCAGGGTGTAATATCATCTTAGCATTTTCCTGATTCTGCTGCAAAATTTTGATTAGGTGTCATAGGAAGTGCTTCAAAAAAAAGAGCAGTCAGCAGGAAATCTGGTGACTTGGGGCCTACGGGTGATATAATTGGAATGTGTTTATAGCATCTTAAAAGTATCGAAATAACAATGGCCAAACTTTTCATACAAAAAGTTTAAGCGTTGAATTTGGTGATGTATAGATTAGATCACTCAGCCCAGTGACAACTTCAACCAAACTTGTATTTATATTTCATAATCCTAAGCAAGGTCATATCTCAGTGTATTTGGATGAGAAGTCACCAGAAACACTGTACCAGAATTATTGGCTGGGCTGGGAGTTTTAAACATCCAGAAAAAAATAGCAAACAGCTTCTACATTGTTGCAAAGAAAGCTAAATGGACAAAATTGCTAGGAGTCTAGCTCATTTTGCAGATGATTTTATCTTTTTGCTAGATTAATATAATTACCGTATATGCCGGCGCATTAGGCGACCCGGCGTATAAGATGACCCCCGTCTTTGTCACTGAGCCGCATTCCTAGAACATCGTCTTATACGCTGGAAACTACCAGTATTTCCGGCGTATAAGACGACCCCCATCTTTGGCGCCGAGTTTAGCGCTTGCGGAAGTCGTCTTATACGCCAGCATATACGGTATGCTTTTTTTGGAGTGTAATGGTGGCCTAGTGGTGAAGATGCTTGCCTCCCACTTGGAAGGTTGAGAGATCAGTCCTAAGCAGTGGCAGATGTTTCTTAGAGCGCAAAGAAAACAAAAATCATCTGAGAATTCCACATAGGTGTTAGGAAGGGCATCTGGCCAGTAAACGCTCAGCTCCGTCCAATTGCCCCAATTCTACTGGACTCCATCCTTTCAAGGATGTCTATACATTTCTGAGGACTAGAAACTTTCATTTTAGAGTGTAGCCAGAGTTTCCACATCTACTGAATCCCACAATGAGGATCGTAGTTCAGGACTTTTCCTTTTGCTTGTGTGGGGTTCCCACAGATATGTGGTGGCAGCCCTGAACACAGGCCTGCAGAAATGCCAGGCAGAGTGGAGTAACCCAAACTTTTATGTTTCCGCTGTGGGCAGCCGGTGAAAAAGCGGGGCTGGCCGAAAGGCAAGAAGAGGAAGAAAATCCTTCCGAATGGACCGAAGGCCCCCGTGACGGGCTACGTCCGCTTTCTGAACGAACGACGGGAGCAAATTCGCATGCAGCGCCCGGATTTGCCCTTCCCTGAAATCACAAAAATGTTGGGAGCAGAGTGGAGTAAACTACAGCCCACAGAAAAACAGGTGAGAGAACATGGAAATAGGTATGGTTTTCTGTGATTTTTAGGCACAAATAAGTGTCAAATCTTACTTCCAGGTTCCCTCAACTTATAATCAATTCCTTAACGACCATTCAAAGTTACAACGGACCCAAAAAAGATACAATCTGGATTCAAAGTTCCGATGCCTCCTCTCTCCCAGGGTTGCATGATTGAAATTTTTTTTAGGCAACCAGCCTGCATTTATGAGCATTTGCAGCATCCTGGGACTGCAAAGTATGGCAGGTTTTTTTTTAACAGAAACCAGAGTTTACTTCCAGTTTCCAGTAAAAAATGCTCACTGTGAACAGTAGGTTTGCTTTACGACTGCAATGTTAGCATGACGACTACCTCAAAAAAGGTCATAAAATTGGACATGGTTACATGATCTGCTTAATGGCCAGCACAATCTACAGCAGTGGTTCTCAGCTGTGGGTCGGGACCCCATTTGGGGTCGAACGACCATTTCACGGGGGGCGCCAAACAACGCAGTCCGCCATTTTCCCCCCGTTTTCCTTAGCTCTCTTGAATAGAGTCTAATTCTATTGGCTTTCAAAAGCCAATAGGAATTGTCCATGCTGTCTCTGCCCTGCTGAGCCCGCCAAAAGCCCCATTCTACAAACGGTGCTGTACCAGTTGAGTAGTCCTCGACTTAGGACCGGTTGAGTAGTCCTCGACTTATGATCAGTTGGGGGTCGCGGCATTAAAAAGGTTGAGAATCACTGACCTACAGCCTTAATTATGTGTTCCATTATGGTCATAAGTGGAAGACTACTGGCATTTTGTCCCTATCTAATGTTAATCTAGAAGTTACTATTTGAGTTTTGCTTCTGGAAGTTTGAATTCTATTTTTACTGTACATCAACCCAAGTATCTGAGGCCATCAGGTTGGTTCCTAGTGACCATACAGGGGATTTTCTTCTGGATAATTGTCCACAACCTGACCCTTCTGGTCTTCCATCAGTGGCCCATTATTGCTATAATTGAATTAATGCACTATGCTGCTGGTCTTCTCTTTTCTTCCAGTTTTTCAGCATTCCAGCCTTCTTCAGAGATCTAGGTCTTCATGTAATCTATCTGAAATAAGATAATTTGGGTCTGGCCATTTCTGCCTTGATTGAGAAGTCTGGATATTCAGTGATCCATTTGTTTGTTTTCTTGACTATCTGTGATATTCTTAGAAGTCTTCTCCAACACCAAAGTTAAATAACATCAATAATTTTCTATACTATTCCTTCAAAATCTGAAGCCACTTGCCAGTTACAGGTAGTCCTCAAATTAGGCCACAATTGAACTCAATATTTCCTTTGCTAAACAAGACAGTTAAGTGAATTTTGCCCCATTTTATGCCCTTTCTTACCATAGTTAAGTGAATCACTGCAATTAACAAAATGGTTGTTAAGTGAATGTGGCTTCCCCATTGATTTTGCTTGCCAGAAGGTTGTAAAAAGTGTTCACATTGACACAGGATACTGTAATGATCATAAATATATGCCAGTTACCAAGCATTTGAATTTTTATCATGTGACTACGGGGATCCTGCAGTGGTTGTAAGTGCGAAAAATGTGCCACTGTAACTTTAAACAATCATTAAACGAAGGGTTGTAAGTCGAGGACTATCCATATAGGCATATTATTATATTATAAGCATGTTAAATAAGCACGGGATGAAGAGAGATGGAGTTTGTGGATTGGGTCAGTCATAACTTTTCCTGTGTTTCAAGCGCTATCTGGATGAGGCTGAGCGGGAGAAGCAGCAATACATGAAGGAGCTGAGGGAATACCAGCAGTCAGAAGCTTACAAGCTGTGTGCTGAGAAGATGCAAGAGAAGAAAATCAAGAAAGGTCAGTTTTGCACTTGCATCTGATACTTGGAAATCCAGCATAGAGGAATTGTATAAGTTGTCTCTTAGGGATTCCCCATTACTGTAGTTCTTCCTCATGTTGTTGTATGCAACAAAGTAATTAACGGACTCCAAGAAAGGCTTGTTAACTTTGTAATATCATTTGTATCTATACGTTTTTATGTATTTAAATACATTTCTTTTCTGAAAAGAGGTCTGTAGGCTTAACCAGACTCTCTCAAGAGGTTTATGGCAGAGGTCACCAACCTTTCTTGGTTGGCGGACCGGAGGGAAAGGGAGGGGGAAGCATTTTACACGTGCGGGCCTGCAAGTTTGCGCTTAACGCAAACAGGGTGGGGCTAGCACTTGCGTAATATTTGCTAGCCCTGCCCCATTCTTGTGCACAGTGCCGTTTCTGTGCCCGAAGCGCGGCATCGAGCTGTTTTCGTGCACCGAGGTGTAGCGGCATCCCATTTTCACACCCTGAGGTACAGCGTTGGCCTGTTTTCGTGCAGTGCTGTGGCCTGTTTTTGCGCCTCACGGTGTGATATCAGCCCATTTTCATGCCCCAAGCCACGGCAGTGGCCCATTTTCACATGGCGCAGTGTCCTGTTTTCATATCCGACAGCTGCAGCGCTAGCGCAATTGGGTGTGTGTGCGTGCACTGGCCAGCCTGTCCTGCGGCCCGGTGGCCCATGGCCCATTACTGGGCCGCGGCCCACAGATTGGGGGTCTCTGGTCTATGGCACAAAAAGAGATTAAGAATCCTGACTTACAGACTTGTCCAGCAATTTGCTGTCCCTCTTCCCCTCCAGCTAATTTCTCAGCCTTCTTTGTAATTGCTCTTTAAAAATAACCCTCCATGGAAAATGGAGCAGCGGAAATTTGTCTACAACAGTGGTTCTCCACCTTTTTAATGCCGCGACCCCCAACCGGTCGTAAGTCAAGGACTACTCAACCGGTCGTAAGTCGAGGACTACTCAACTGGTGCAGCACCGTTTGCAGAATGGGGCTTTTGGCGGGCTTAGCAGAGCAGAGATACCCTGGACAATTCCTATTGGCTTTTGAAAGCCAATAGAATTAGACTCTATTCAAAGGGAGTAGCACAGCTAAGGAAAAGGGGGAAAAATGGCAGACTGCGTTGTTTGGCGACCCCGTGAAATGGTCGTTCGACCCCAAATGGGGTCCCGACCCACAGGTTGAGAACCACTGGTCTACAAGAATACCATCTACTTACTTTTCAAAGCAGGCTGATGGCGACATAAGAATTAGCTAGCCATTCCTTTGATGTGTACATCATACAGAAGTCTAGTTTCAAATGAGCTTATCTAAGACAAGATTGTAGGAATGAGAATTTTCTACTCTTCTTGGAGACTAGTCTTTTTAGATAAGATCCCATGAAGACTGGTGGTGGTCTCCCTGCCATTTTGATTTGATGCCTCAATGGGAGGGGGGAAGAGGCTCCAGTAACAACAGTAATAATAATAATAATAATAATAATAATAATAATAATAATAATAATGACGACGATGATGATGATAAAGTTGGAAGGGATCTTGGAGGTCATCTAGTCTAACCCCCTGCTCAGGCAGAAAACCCTATACCATTTCTGATAAATGGCTGTCCAGTCTCTTCTTAAAAACCTCCAGTGATGAGACACCCACAATTTCCAAAGGCAATTTGTTCCTTCTTGTTCCTTAGATTTCTTTTTTTTCCCCCTGATCTCCAAATGGGTAAACACGTTTTGCCCACAATCCGATACTCCTGACTGGTTAAATTTCCAGCTGTAAAGTCTTATTTACCATGGCATCACCAACTGTAGGCATTCTTGATCTAAGTGAATATCACTCTCTTATTTTCCTTGCATATTCCCTCTCCTCTGCTTGTTAAAGTTAAAAGCCCTAGGATGGTCTATCAGGTAGGATAGGCAGTTTCTTTGGAGAGATTTAATTCAAATCATGACGGCATTATCAGCTCCTTGATACCTGCTTTGATTAACTAACTTTTTCTTTTAAAAAAAATATTATTTTAGAGGATGCTGGTACTGGAACTGTGAACACATTGCTAAATGGATACAAGGTAATTTGTCAGATTTTGCTTTTAGGAATGTCAAACTTGAAAATGAGAAATTGTGATTATGTATATTTTCTAGTTACTAGTCATTTAGATAGTTTAGCATCCATCAGCTTTGCCTTTTAACTACAGTAGCGTACTGAATGTGGAAAGAGTATACTTTCTCTGGAGTTTTTTCCCCCCTAGGCAGTAGTTATTGCAACCGAGCTGCAATTTCAAAACATTTGTATCTGAATGTCAAAAGCAAAAATAATAATAAAAAATGAATAATTTGAGCCTAAAAATTACAGATAAACTACAAAAAGGCAGTTATGTTGATGTAGCTTTTGATCTAGAACTTAGATTTAGAATTTGCACGAAAGCTTTCTGTTGCAGTCTTAAGAACTTCCTACTAATTTGAAAATTAGGAGAACAATTAAAGATAAGTTCACTTTTAAGGAAAATCCATTTGGCACTGCCTAGATCTGTGGTGGCAAACCTCTGGCACGCATGCTACAGGTGGCACGCAGAGCCTTCTCTGTGGGCACGCACACCGTCGCCCCAGTCTTAGGCCTTTAGCTGGGTTTTATAAAACCTTTTCGCTTTAGACCTCTGCCACCATGTGCAAAAAAAAAAAAAAAAGGTTCAATCAATCAATTTCAACCTCGCGGGGAAAAAAAATCTCACAAAGTTGGAATTGATTGATTGAACTTTTTAGTCCCACCCAGTCCGCCATTATCACTGAAGCCATGCCCACCCAATGGGCCACGCCCACCCAGCACCCGACAATACCTAAGTGGGTTTTGGGGTGCGGTTTGGCACTCGGTCTCTAAAAGGTTCACCATCACTGGCCTAGATAATACCGTTTTAGTCCCTTGAGCATTAACTTAATGGTGGTTGTGTTCTTTTTATTAACTGCTTGTGACTGTTTATTCTTCTCAGCTATAAGAAGAATCATAGATATAAGCTTCCTTTTAACACATTAGCTTTGTCCTGGAGGATTGACAGCAGACTTGTGGCACATTAATGTATAGTGTAGCTCCACTGCAATACTCAACATTTCATTGCTAATTCTGAAAAAGAAAAGCTATTATCTTCCGAGAGACTGTGGTAACATAGTCTGTTCCCAAATTTTCAGGATTTCCACGCCGCACTGAGAAAAATATGTAATCTTTTCATTTATTAATGCTTTTTGCCCAGCTTTCTTATCTATCTTTTCTTGCAGACTGGAGAAAGTGGCAGTGATGGCTTCTCAACATTTGATGTCCCTATTTTTACAGAGGAATTCTTAGACCAGAACAAAGGTACAAATGCAACTGTTGCAATGTAGTTAGTATTCAGATAGGCTGGATTTCCCTTACGAAAACTGGGGCCTACCAAATAACATTTCTTCCCAGTGCCCCGCCTTCTTTCACAAAGAAGTGAAACAAATGATGAAGATAGGTTTGAAAGTAAATATGCCCATATTTTCTAGAAAAGTTGTGGCTTTATTAAAAGGGGACCAACTTGGCTTAAAATGGCTAGAAAATCTGAAATTGAGCTTTTTTTCGGCCTTCAGTTGAGCTGGAAGAGAGATTGCGGTATTAATCACTGAAAGAATGGAAATCTTTATTTGCATTTAATACTAGAGATGGATATGGGCACAAGTAGCAAGCTCTAAGAACTAACTAAAGAAAATGGCTAGATTAACAGTCTTTATTAAGTTATTCTTCAGTTAGCAAGTTTATTAAATCACAGTTGGTTCAGTTGACAAATAGAGCTAAAACATAAAAGCAAAAAATAAACCATCTTGGCTTTTTGATGTGTTGGCTTTGTGCAGTGTCTGAACCAGCTCACTTTTCGTTTTGGCTCTCTTCATAATACACCTGGGAGATCCTTCCTCGGTGTTCAAATTGTGATCTCTCATTAGATACTAAATCTTTTAGAATCATTTCTCTAGAAATTATAGGAGAAGACAAACAGTACTCATAAGTATGGTTCAAATTACATAGATAAACCCAATTGGCTACATTCGTGCGAGGTCATTAGAGTTGAGTCTACTTATTGCTAGGACATTATGGAAGACAAATAGACTGTCCTGAAAACCAATTTCTCTCTGGTGCCTCTAAAAATTCCCAACCAATACAGTCACAGTCTGGGAATTCTGAGAGCTGTAACTAACACATCTGAGTGGTGTCGATTGTGACCCGTGTTTTTTTCTTTTTAATTCTGGTCTTCTTGTTTTCCCTTTCTCTTTGCTGGAGCAGCACGGGAAGCAGAGCTGCGGAGGCTGCGTAAGATGAACACGGAGTTTGAGGAGCAGAATACCATCCTGCAGAAGCACACGGAGAGCATGAGCTGCGCCAAGGAGCGCCTAGAGCAGGAGCTTGCACTGGAGGAGAGGCAGACAATGGCACTGCAGCAACAGCTCCAGACCGTGCGCCAAGCTCTGACAGCCAGTTTTGCCAGCCTTCCCATTCCAGGTACTGGAGAGTTGTAGTTTGACAGTGCTTGCCAACTTAGGAGACACGAAAGTCTGCATGCTTTGCAATACTTGTGTATAGCAGTCATCTATCTTTGAGGGATGCACTGATCATGACAGTGCCACAAGCAAAACACTGCCCCATTCTCAATCTCAAGTTTTACTTTTGTTAAAAATGCAAGAGTGTTAAGGTGGTTATATTTACCAGAAGGTTTGGACCAACTCTTCGGGGTCCTTCCAGGAGGTTTGTGCTGACATAGAAAACACTGCCATCATAGAAACGTGAGAGCTGAGAAAGATCTTTGATTTCATCTAGTCCAGCCCCTCCTTCAGTAGAGGAATTGACAAATGACCATCCAGATTCTGTTTGGAAATTTCCACCAAGATTATTGCTGAAAGAAAAACCACTTGGGGTTTGGATTTAGACAGGCCTGTTATTTATACAGTGGTACCTTGATACTCAACTGCTTTGAAACTAATTGAATTTGGTACTCAACGCATTCTGACATGAAAATTTTGTCCCGATACTCATAGTTTGTTTGATACTCAATCCACAAGCTGGAACATGTTGGTGTTGGCTGCCTTGTGACTTACTACATTATTCCTTAGGGGAAAATTTTGTTTGGTACTCATCGTTTTTTGTACTTGTTGCACTTCCCAGAACCAATTAACCATGAGTACCGAGGTACCATTGTACTTAAGTTGTAGAGCGAGATAAATGAATGCTATTGTGCTGTGGATGGAGAAAAAGCAGGAGTGACTTACTAGAACAACTTGCAGCCTTTGCTGCCGGCTTCCCAATTGAGGTTGCTTGTGGGAAGTTGTCTGAGAAAACGGCAAGTTGTAAAAATGTGACTGCAGCTCCCCGTGAGGTTGTAATCGCAAGCCAAGTATCCGAGTGCCCAGATCACAATCACATTGCTGTGGGGGTGTTGTGACAGCTGAAACGTTAATGACCAGTCAGTCATGTGTGTCTGCTTTTTCAGTGCTGCTGAACTTTGAACAATCACTGAATAAATGGATGAAAGCTGAATGCTACTGAAAAAAGGCAACAGGAAATTGGGGAGGGAGGGGAAGGGGAATAGAAGCAAGCAGCAGCAAAAACAGTTTATGGGTGCTAAGAAAGTTTCTAAATCCAAGCTTAACTAGAAAACTTTTTAATTTCTTCCAATTAGATACTTGCTAGATTCTGGCTGTACATTTTAGAGTTAAAAATGGAAAAATTGGAAAAAAAGCAAATTTATGCATTGTCATCACTCTGAATCAGGTCAACGTGTTCTGTAACTATGCAGTATGAATACAGAATATGTTATTGAGAAAACATTCTGAACGGCATGTTTTACTTTGTTAAAAAGGCAAATTTTTAACTCTTAGTTGTCTGAAAGTTATGTCCAGATAAGATTTCCAGAATTCAGAGGGCGAGGTTTGTTCTCCGCTCGCTTCAGCATATCCTACAAAATGTTAATCAGCAAGGATGCTAATTGCTGCTCAAGCAGCTAATGAGATTCTTTCCAACAGGCACAGGTGAAACCCCCACACTGAAAACACTTGATTTCTACATGGCAAAGCTTCACAGCACCATTGAGAGCAATCCCATACAACACGAAAGGCTGGTTGTCCGAGTCAAGGAGATTTTGTCCCGTGTTGCCAAGTAAGCATGAACATATGCTTCTGTAATACAGGGACTCCTCGACGTATGACCACAATGGAGCCTGCCCATTAATGGTCATAATCATGTGACCTATACAATTTTACTTTTTTTTTTTGGTGGTGGTGGTGGTGGTTAAGCGAATCACCATGCTGATTAAGTGAACTTGCAGCCATTAAGCAAATGCCATGGTTGCTAATTGAATTTATTGTTCGCTAGGGGGCCCATTTGCCAATATTTGCCAAAAACTGCAAGTAAACACCAGTTTTGTACAAAAAACGTAAACTGAAGTCATCTGATCCAGGATGCTTCAAATGGCCATAAAAGCAGACCAGTTGCTGAACATCCGAAATGTAATCACAGTACTGCGGGAGAGGGGAAATCCATCGGAACTTTAGAATTGGTTTGTAAGCACCTTTTGGGAGGTCCATCAGAACTTCAAAAGGTCACCATCGATGAGTTGTAAGTCGAGGACTCCCTGTAAGCAGGGATGATATAGAAGCCAACTACGACCCTTTACACAAGCAGATAACTCAAGGCAGAGATGTGTAGTGTTTGGATCTGAAGTGGGCAACTTTCCTGGCAAACATTCTCACCTCTCTGGGCTGATGTATCAGCCAGGAAGGTTGCCCACTTCAGACCCAAACACTACACATCTCTGCCTTGAGTTATCAGCTTGTCCAGGGTTTGGAAAGCACTAGGTTTCCCCCATCATTTCCTTCCATCTCCTTAATGGATCCAGAGATCTTTTGCCCACAAAACAGCCCTGCTGTTGCACTGGAGGCTTCTCTTCAGCTATGTGCTCTTGATGTAAGGGAAAGATGTGAATCCAGAATATAGCGTGTTCCTTTGCATGCCTACTCTAAAGCAGTTTCTCAACCTTGGCAACTTGATGATGGTTGGACTTCAACTCCCACCATAGCTGGCTGGGGAATTCTGGGGGTTGAAGTCCACCCATCACCAGGTTGCCAAGGTTGAGAAACACTGCTCTAAAGCATGGGTCTTTTGGCTGGTCTGGGCTGCATTGGGTGTAAAGCAGGGGTAGGCAACCTTGGCTCTTTTATGATTTGTGGACTTCAACTCTGGCTCAGGAATTCTGGGAGTTGAAGTCCACGAGTCATAAAAGAGCCAAGGTTGCCTACCCCTGGTGTAGAGGAATTGTCTTGGGTCGTATATAAAATGTATAGTTAATGTATATACATAACAACTTATTTTTTTATATTTTTATATGATCTTGTGGGGCCGCATTACTAGCTGTCCAGGGCCACAGGGGTTCCGCGGGCCATGGGTTGGACATGCCCCTAAAGCAAATTTATTTTTAGTTCATTGAAGCTCCTTTGCTAACTTGGTGTGCAAACTGAAAACAAAGCTAGCTGCTTATTGGAACTAAAATGAGGTTTGTGTGGGACTTAAGAGTTGTTTAATGTTGTCATTTCCAAGGCATCAAATGTCTTGTCATAAACAGACAACTGAGCATGTTGTGAGTAACTTTGTTTCTCTCTTCAGCGAGCATTTGTGAGTAACGGATGCTGGGCACAACTTGAAAACATCTCAACTACAGTTTGCCAGGTTGATGGGACTACACTGCCATACGCTCCTCCTGATGCAGCTGCCTTTATGTAGCAGATCTTCTCCAGACCCTCTTCTCTTCAAAAAGCCTTAAGTTGCCTTCTCTGCTCCTAAAATATGTAGGAAAACCTCTTTTCTTTCTGAGCTTAGTCCTCTCTTGGCTCTTTCTGAAGTTGCTGGCAGGACAGCAGATGGTAGAATGACAGAAAATCAATGAGACTTGTCCATGATTGCTGGGTTCTGGAACTCTGTTTTCTCCTCCAAAGTACAGATTTCCAGGCTAATTTTGCCACAAAAATGAGTATTGCAGTCACTGGGCTATGTGGCTGACTCCTGTGGCTACTAACAGGTCACACAGGAATATCAAAAGCAGACCAAGGGAGGCCAATATTTGTAGGCAGATATCAGAATGGCTAGAAGTAGATCAATAAGGATTTTTGACTCCCAATTAACAATAGCAGCTACACAATGCCACCTCTAACTCTAAATTATACTACTGGGATTATGAAAGATGGGGTTGTGTGAGGCCTTTAAATGCTGATCCTTGGTCCTTCTTTAATTTTTAGCATATACCTGACTCCAATTGGTGGACTGAAAAAAAGCAGAATAGATCCAAGTCTAAAAACTGCCCTTCCCTCTGATAAGAGGTACAAATGAGCAGATAATTTCAATGAATTCCATTCCACTTGTGTTTTTAAAATCAGAGCAAAACATTCCATTACTTAACTATTATAGTTTGTATTGTCATTTTAATTATTTTATTGGAACATTTGAACGACAAGTGTTTTGGAATGTTTTTTGGAATTGAGAAATGCATTGCAAAATTAGAACAAGTGCAAATCCAAGAGATAAGTGTATTTCAATCCAGATATCCATCCACAGAATGTTTATCTGATTAATTCTCACCAGGATGTGTTAATCATCTCTAATGAGTTGTTTCATTGACTGAATTCATATATGCTAAACCATGGCTTGCTTAACCATGGTTTATTGAATAGCTGGGTTTACACAAATATGTCAAATTAAAAAAAAAAAATTCTCCTGGTGACTCAAAGATGCTTTTTCAAAAGTCACCTGCGCTATTTTTTTTTCCTTGAAGATGTTTTGCTTCTCATCCAAAACGTTTTCTTCCTCCTCAAGGGGAAAAAAAAAATAAGGTTGCCTTTGGAAAAGCATCTTTGAGACAACTCTGATCGGCATGCCACAAACCGGTCCGTGCAAACAAGCAAAGCCTCATCTGCAGGATGCAGGCAGCACACTAAACCATGCCCCCTCCGGTCCATAAAAAAAAACCTCTCCATGGAACCGGTCCGTGGTGCCCCAAAAGTTGGGGACCTCTGAGTTAGAGGGATGTGGGAATATTGACAAAGGTTGTGGTTGCATGGCAGGCTTACTCATAATTATCCAACCATAGTTTACTCAGTTTGCCCAATTTTCTGCAGTTGCATGATCTACTTAAACATACACTAACAATGCAGACCGGGTTCACACTAGGCTGAAACCTAGCTGGTTGTTTTGGAGTCTGCAAAAACAGTCCACGTGTCATTTCAAAAATCTATCTGTCTCAAGAAGGGCAATTTATGGCATGCAGAACACAAGCATATTGATTTCAATCCCTTTTCATCTTCTAGGGCAGTTTGAGGTGAAGATGGGAATGAATTCCTTTTGGGAGCCTTGAACTTCCATCCCCTGGTCAAAAAAAAAAAAAAAAAATGGAGTTCAGCTCAGGAGACTGACTTTCAACTATTGCCATAAAATTGACCTAGCTTAAAGCTGATGCCATTTCTCCAAGCTAGATGATTAGTGCACATATTATTTTAAATCATGTTGAGTAATCTATTTAATACTGGAGATTCCAGGCAAGTTTTTTATTGTGTACAGTAAGTTTCAAAAGGTGGAGTTTCTCTTAGACCTGCTGCCTTATATTATTTTAAATACTGTGACTTAAAATCCAACTAATATTTTTCCAGGGTGAATACCCCTCCCATCACAGTGTGCATTTGTTGTGCATTTGTTGACATGCTGTACATCATGAAAAGTTTTGCAGATGGGATACAAATCAATCCCTCAGGAATGTAACATGAAATTTTGGGGGTTCTTGTGTTTTGAATCAAAGATACATATATAAGGTTGTAGAATCTCTGAAACCAAACTAGGATTCTGAAGACAGATACCCATCTTGTATGCCAGGAATTTTCAAAGTCATTGTTCCTTCTCCTTGAAAAGAATGGATGCAAGATTCTATGAAGAAAATTGCATATGTAGATTTAAGTTTACTTCATCTAAAATAATGATAGTTAGTTGCTAGAAGCAATTTAACAATGCAAAACTCGGGTTACCTTGGCATAAAATAATGGCTTTATTTATTACATAATGTTGCACCTCTTCCTCATAACAGAATAAATAAATCCCTGCTGATTATTATTGTGAATTAATTCTGACTTAGTTTTGTATTTTCTTAATGCATAAGGATGGGTTTTTTTAACATAATATTTGCATTTAAAATTGTATTTTCAACCTTTTCCTTCCCCTCTGTTGCAAAAAAAAAAAAAAATTAACAGTATGGAAAAGGGTTATGCTGCTCTGGTGAGGGCAGGTGTTCTTTTTAAAAAATAAATAAAATACATATGTGTACAAACTAATCTTTTTGTCGCAAATATTACTTGGGGATGAAAATGAAGCAAGTGCACATGAATTATCTCTGAGAATAATTTCTGAGTCATGAATGTGAGATTAGCAGCTGTATAAATAAAAATATATCAGGTTTACTGTGCTAATTGTTTGGCAAATACATGTGTATTCAGTGCTATTCAAAGGATAAATATCTAGAATGCAGGAGATTGAGAAAGGGTTTCTTAAAGTAGAATATTATATAGGTACAATGAGGTATAATTACGTGAGCAGAAGATGTTAAGATGAGATTGTTGTATAAAACAAATTCTATTAATCTAAGTCAGTGGTGGCGAACCTATGGCACGCGTGCCAGAGGCAGCACTCAGAGCCCTCTCTGTGGGCATGCACGCCATCTCCCCAGCCCTGCCTCCCCCCATGGCCCCTTCCTTACCAGCAGCCCCCCTGGAGGAGAGTCACCCCTGGGCGCAGCCCATAAGGAGCAGCACAGCCAAGGATATGGCAGCCTGTCGGGGTCAAGACTCTACCTTTGCGCCCTATCACATGCAGTTGATGCTGTGGAGCATGGGCGGAGGGCCTAGCTGCCATGGTGCTGCTGGGCCGCCTGGGCGATCTGCGGCAGGCCTTGAAGGCGGTGAATGGCCCTGCAGGTGGGCGAGGTGGGGGGGCAGGGCAGGTTTTGGGCACTCGGTCTCTAAAAGGTTCGCCATCACTGATCTAAGTGAAGCAAATTGCAAATTAGATTAATTATAAGGACAAGCCACCATTATAAATTAATTATTCAGACATTTATACTTGCAATAAAAATAACTTGATTCCTTGAGTTCCTTCTCCACATACGTACATACAGTTGATGTTCATTCTACCTGCTCTATGAATTAACTATTTAAACAAATGCTATGGGGAGAAAAGTGGAATATGAACAGGAAATAAATATGTATACTTATATCACTGCTCCTATTTAGGGCAAGCACTTTTATGCTGAGTGCAGGAAAGAAATAGACAACAGATAAAATCATTCTGAATATATTTCAAATGACTACTGTAGAAGGCCTTGGTTTGTTGGATGTTTGCCAAGTATGATGAGTTGCAAGGTAGTCTCTAAGAGAGCCTAGTTTGCATCAAATAGCATACACATGCTTGGAGCAAAATTTATTATTTATTTATTTATTTTATGAGACTTATATACCGCTTTAAGTGCAAGCACTCTCTAAGCGGTGTACACCAGTAAGCAATGTATATATATATTTACATTGCCCCCAACAATCTGGGTCCTCATTTTACCTACCTCGGAAGGATGGAAGGCTGAGTCAACCTTGAGCCGGTGAGATTTGAACCGCTGACCTGCTGAACACAGTCAGCCATACTGATCAAAACATGATAAAAATGACTGGAATCTCCTTGCCATTAGCAGTAAATGCTGTAGGTGGCATATGTGCAAGACTTTTAGTAAAGTGTTAATATTTATAATTTTTTCCTTGTCAGAGGATTCTTCACAATATTTTTTTCTTTTCGACTCCAGATTGGATTGCTCTTCCCCCCCCCCCCCCAATTCTAACATGCTCTTTTTGGGATGTGTAATGCCCAGTGTTGTCTATAGAGCTTTCAGATCTTGGCTGCAAAAATCCAGCAAGATGACAGCAAAGAGAGAAACACGTCTTTATGCTGTCATCTTACAATCATCTGGATTTCTGCAGCCCAGATAAGACAGGCCTTCTGTATGCAGGATTCCAAGTATAATGGTTGTTGTCTATCAAAGCATAAAGTATAATGGTAGATGAGAATGACTTTGGGAGACAGGAAGGAAAGCTGCACACAGGACAACCAGTAGATGATGTCCCAAACTACAGAAGGTATAGGAAACATTTAAGATGGGACTTTTCCTAAATTCCTGCCTCCTATTCTGCCCCCAACTACAGCATGCTGTAAGATAGGTTGGGCTGACAAAATGACTGGCCCAAAGTCACCCGTCTAGTTTTTGTGCCTAACACAGGGCTAGAATTCCTGGTTTCTAGGCCAGCACCTTAAACCACTACACAAAACTGTAACTCTTTATATTGTTTGGAGTGATTCCTATTTGGCACTTTTAAAGCTTATCTTTTCACCAAAGGAAGTGACATTGGAGAGTTTTTTTGCATTCTGAATCACTTACAAATAAGTTGAAAGCACTAATTCCATGGAATGCCATCACTCTGCTAAATTGTCAGTTACTTATTGTCATCTGTTATCCCACGATTACAAAGTTTGTGGATTCTAGATAGGCTTTTGCATCTACAATATCTTATCAAATCACTTTTGGGCATTCTCAAAAGAATACTGAAACTTAAATGCAACATTTCCTGAAACTGGACTCTGCTCAAGCCAGACTTGATCTTCTACATATTTCCTGTGATAACTTGCGTATAGATGGCAGAGGAGGAAAACTGGACAGTAGAAAAGAAGCAAAAAGCAAATTAGAGATTTTATTTATTATTTCTGTTTCTAACCACTGCCCGCTACTAACTCCTCTGGGCAAAAATTTAAAACAAATACTAAAATTATTTTAAAAACAATATCAAAGAAGGGCTGTGGTAGCGGGGAAAAGAATCTTAATTGAGATGGTGGATTTGCACTGGGTCGTGGCCCAGTGCCTGTTAGAAGAGATAGACAGCAGGACTGGGGCTATATGAACCTGGGTGAGGGGGATTTATTCCAAAGCACAGGAATAATGATGGAAAAGGTATGTCTCCTGAGTCCACTATGATCCCTGAACTATACCTTGGAAGACCATCAGTATAGAACTCACACAGCAGAGGTGCTTTAGGTGTATATCAAAGCCATTTTTAACAAATTAACAGTGATTCCAGAACAATGATTAACCTAACCAATTTGTAATTTACCTAGATATCTTCTCAATTTCTTCTCTCTGTTCCCCTCCCCTCCAGATCTTTCTCCTCTCTTGGCATTATGTGGGCCACTTTCCAGTTCAAACTGAAACAACTAAGATGACAAATATGTGGCCAACTTCAACAGGAATAGCTTCGCCTGTAGCCACTTCTAGTGGATTTATTGACAAATAAATATTCTAATGTTCCCAGATTAATGTTGCAACAGCTTGGTTACAAAACAGTGTGATGTATGTCCAAGAGTATATTAAACATAAATATGTAATAAGCAAATAGCCCTTTTACACAATTCAAATAAACATTCTTCTGTTTACTCTGTCTTAACTCTTCCCTTCACTGTTATCTCCTTATGATTTATTGATTCGGTACAATACATCTGTACAAGTACAGAACGTTTTCAACTCCTTGTGACATCAACAAACAGTTCGTAACTCTCTTTCAGGCCTCCCAATGGCCCTCCCATCACTATTGTAACTGAGTCCACTCCCCATGCTGCTGGTCATCCTTTTTTCTTTTCTTTCCACTTTTTCTAACACTAGTGCCTTTTCCAGAGAGCGGGGTCTATCCAAAGTAGGATATTTGAGCCTGGCCATTTCTGCCTCCTATGAGATCTCTAGATTGATTTATTCAATGATCCATCAGTTTGTTTTCTTGGTTGTACACAATATTTTCAGGGTCTCCTACAACACTAATGATCAAAAGCATCAATATTCTATCCTGCATCTTTAAAGTCCAACTTTCCCTTCCATAAAGCGTCACAGGGAATATACCATGGCTTGCACAATTCTGATCTTTTGTATAGACCAGTGGTGCGAACCTATGGCACAGGTGCCAGAGGCGGCACTCAGAGCCCTCTCTGTGGGCACACGTGCCATTGCCCCAGCCTTGACTCCTCCTGCGACCCGCTCACCAGCAGCCCCCCTGGAGGAGAGTCGCCCCCGATGTGGCCCACACGGAGCAGTGCAGCCAAGGACATGGCAGCCAGGCAGCATAGACAAGACTCTGCCTCACACCCCATCACGCGGGCAGAGGGCGTGGCCGCCATGGCGCTGCTGGGCTGCCTGGGCGATCTGTAGTGGGCCCTGGAGGTGGTGAGTGGCCCTGAAGGCAGGTGGGGTGGGGGTGGAATGGGGATGGGGCAGGGGATGGAGCAGAGGCGGGCCAGTTTTTGGGCACTCCATCTCTAAAAGGTTCACCATCACTGGTATAGACACATCTGGCATCTTGTTACTTGAAATTTTAGAAGCTGGTTATCCTTTCCAAGACCTTCATGACTGTTCTACAGTGTTAATCTGTTACAGATTACAGTGTTAATCTGTCTCCTTATGGCATGATACTATATTATACTCCCTTGTCCACAACTCGTCCGGGTCCCTGGTTGTGGCCTGGAATGAGGCGGCGTCCGGGGCCCTGGATCGAATTGCGCCTTTGCGACCTCTCTGTGGTTGTGGTCCCCGGAGGGTGCCTTGCTTTACTGAGGAGCTCTGGGAGATGAAGTGCCACAAGAGACGTCTAGAGGGACGTTGGAGGGCCAGTAACTCTGAATCTGACCGATCACTATTAAGAGCCTATCTTAGGACTTATTTAGTGGCGATAAGGGCGGCAAAGCGTGTTCACTTTTCTGCACTTATTGCGTCCTCAGAATCTCGCCCAGCCGCCTTGTTTAGGGTGACCCGCTCCCTTCTTAAAGTGGAGGAGGCGGAGGAACCCTTGCAGGGGAGAGCTGAGGAGTTTGTTCAGTTTCTCTCGGACAAAATCGCTCAGATTCAGAGACCTGGGCTCCGACTGGGCAGTGCCAGCCGAGATGCTGGGGGCTGGTCTTAGTCATGTTATCTGGAGCGAGTTTGAGCCTGTGACCCCTGATGAAGTGGACAAGGCCATGAGGGCAATGAATGCCGCCACCTGCTTATTGGACCCGTGCCCCTCCTGGCTGGTTTCTGCCAGTAGGGAGGTGACACGAGGCTGGCTCCAGGCGATAATCAATGCCTCCTTGATGGAGGGGGTCTTTCCCGCAACCTTTGAAGGGAGCGGTGGTGAGGCCCCTCCTCAAGAAGCCTTCCCTGGACCCAGCTGTTTTGAAGAACTTTCGTCCTGTCTCCAACCTCTCCTTTGTGGGGAAGGTTGTA